TCGCTATGTCACATCTTTCTGCCTTTCTTTCAGCATGTCTCTCTCCTTGCCATCGTCACGCTTTAGCCCCCGGGCTGTGGCCAGGGCTTAAAGGCGTAATAAGAGCCGCGTCGGGCCATGGGCTATTTTCCGCGGGACGTTGGCAACTCCTGGCCAGAAATCCTATGTGATTGTGTGGTGTGAAGTGACACCCCACCGCCCAACACACACCCAACGCGGCATTCGGGGTTTTTGTCTTGTCTTACATTCGTTTCCTGTTGGAAATGCTGACACGGGATGAGATAACGCAATCCGGTGCAATAATTCTGTCATCATTTTTCTATAATTGTTTCCGAGGTGTTCAGTGTAATGCTCACATGTTCATATTATTTTGGGCAGTGTTGCTTTGGGAGCTGCAAGATCATAGATGTTGAAACTCCTCCTTTCATTCCAACTTGGAGATTTTTTTTTCCCCCTGTTTAGACCCCTCTGGGCCAACAGAATATGCTTTTGTTACCATGATGACAAGGGTTGAAGCTACTTGTTGAGCCTTGAATCCCAAAAAGATCAGCAGGTTAGACATTACCTGCCCTGGACCTTTAACATAATACGAGGTATAACAAAATTAAATGAAATGGTTTAAAATAGCATTAAAAAAAGAATGAAAATCCACTTTTGTGGTGCTAATTTTCCTTGTTTAGCGTGTTTAAAGTCACTATTCATGTTGAACATTGCATTGTCAGTGAGCTGGTTGCAGCCACAAAGTCGCGAGGGATGTAAATGATATCCAGATATCAAGATATGATATTTTCACACTATGAACCACATGATATAATTATCATGACACAGGTGGCCAAAACATGCCTAATCCAAATTAATCTACACTTATTAACTAACCATCGGGGGGGGGTGCTGGAACTGCACAAATCGAAGATAACCTGGCCTATGAAACAGATGTGGTGTTTTTAATATTGTGACATGACGATAAAGATAATGTGGCAATTTTAATATCGCGATATTGCCATTATCATTGTATTTCTAATAGTCACTCCCGAAAAAGTGTACAGGAAGTGGGCTATTACGCACTGAAACTACCTTTGGATCAATTTGTTGTTTTCAGTGCTGTCACAGGCATCCAATTGCTGCTAAATTTGAAGAGATATACTGAACAGATGGATGATCGTTTTCGTCATAGCGTGTGGGTGGAACATGTTGGTGAAGATTGGCGTTTGCTATTGAGCTTCTAATCGTCACAGAAACTCTTTCCAGAAGCTTCTGCACAGGCCGTTTTTTGACTGCTTTCAAATTTTGACAGGGAACTACATATCAGACAAATGGATGACATTAATCAGTCAAGCCTATGCATATTGGCCAAAGCTTGGCTTTTGCACCAGTCGTAACTCTACTCGAGGCCCCATTCATCACTGCTCGCAGCATTATTTTTAAATTTCACTTCCATTTTATGACTTTATTGTGTTTCTTTTCATGCCCTGTGATTGGCCAGCGAGCATTTCACCCACAAAGTGCTGTTCAACTGTAAATTTTCACCAGAAATGTTTTTATGTGTGCCTAAATGTATTTGTGACGCTGATTCCCAAAAAGTCTTTACTGTTTTTTTTTTCTTTTTCTTTTAGAGCACATCGATATTTTTCATTTTCATTTTTTTTTTAACCCACAAAAGCTTACTGTTAACAAAAAAATTGCACCTGCTACTGACCCTAACCCTTAATAAATATGATCAAATATGACTGTTACATATAATAATATTATTAAAACAATATGTGCCAGCGAAATAATGGCAGATTGATAATCGGAGCAACAACAACAACAAAAATCTGGAAAAAATGACTTGCAACTCTGATTAAAAAAAAAAAAAAAAAAAAAAAAAGTTAAAAAAAATTGTTGAAGCATGAAATTAGCTGGACTCGGTGACAAGCTGACCCACGACTCTGAGGACAAGTGCGATAGAAAATGGGTGGATGGATGTTTTGAATGCTATTTAGCAGCCTCTTTTGTGACTTTTTTTTTCTTCTCTCTACTCAAGTCACTAATGTCATTTGACTTCTAATAATGGCCAAATTAAAGCTTTCAGAATTTCGATGTGATCTTTCGGCCTGATGCAAAGTCAAGCTGACTAACCAGTGAAGCCCGCGCTGCACGCTGCCATGCTCTCGCCGGGGTTATTGAGAACGCTTTGGGTCATATGACTCGAGATGAGCAGTTAGTCAGAATTAGGCCAGAATGGAGCCCAAGGGGGGAGACGCCATGGTGACCACTCCAAATGGTGTCTTCACTGTGCGCCATCTGTGTGTATGTGTGCACGCATGGTCTTGTAAGAAAACTTTTTTAAAATTTTTTTTTATGTTGCGATGGCAGAGGAAATTTGTCGGGTTGATGTATGACTCTTTAATTGAAAATTCTCAACATTGGCGCTAACTCCTTTTTGGCGACAAATTCAAATTAACCTCTGCCCACAATCTGATTGCACTTCACGAGGGAAATTGCCTTTCAACCAAATCAAAGCGTTTATTTTTAACAATAGCCGCGAGTGGTTGTAATTTCTTTGGACATGGGCGAGGCTTTTACATCATCTTAAAGAGCAGAACAGTCCTAAGGATACGCCCGAGACGGGCAGTGTGAATTAAAAGTTGGATCATTTTCTTGGAGCAAGAAGACCTCTTTGGCATGTCTCGACTCATTCATCCAATTTCATGGATGATAAAAATGTCGACGCCCCATTCATCCACCTCTGGAGGTCATTTTGCGGTAACTCAAGCCTCAAGCCATTTAGCGATCCATACATGAACAATTTTGAAAAAAAAAAAGACATTGTGATGGAATCTGTGACTTTTTTTGTTTGTTTGTTTCCTAAGGTCCTCTTCCCACGAAATTTTAAACCTACCGTATTTTCCACACTAAAAGGCGCACTGGATTATGAGGCGCACCTTCAATGAATGGCCTATTTTGTAAGTTTTTCATATATTGGACGCACCGGATTATAAAACGCAATCTACAATGCATCCACTAGATGGAGGTACGCCTTTGTTGTGTATTCACAAACGAGGAAATCACATAATAAATTCTGTAGGGCGGCTATAGAATTTATTTTGTGATTTCCTCGCTTGATTTTCTGTTTTGATGCATTATTTTCAATTTTCGTAGTTTCATTGAAGTAATCGTTAATTTACGTTTTTCGGAGGCGGTCATGAACGCCTCTCAAGTCGAACGGAAGAAGAAAAGGCACGGAAACAGACGAAGACGTACCTGTATTTGTTGACCAGCTCTCCTTTATTCGGAGCTGCAACAAAAACTCATTTAATAAAGCAGCGACACAGTTCACTGAACCAACAACAAGTTATAACACTGACTCGTTAACGTTGAACTCTCTTGCCGCTATTCTATTTCCGTTTTCTATTGTATGTGTCCAGCAAGGAGCCATTTTGGGGTCGACATATTACCGTAATGACCATACACAAGGCACACTGGATTTTAAGGCGCGCTGTGAGCTTTTAACAAAATGGAAGACTTTTAGGTGCGCCTTTTAATGCGGAAAATACGGTAATTAAAAAATCAATATGTATTACAAAAACCCAATTCCAGATGAAGTGATGATGGTAGGGACACATTCAAGTGATGAATGCAACGGTGACTGCCTGTGATTGCTTTTTGTGCCTGCTCACTAATGGTTAATCATCATGAGGATGGACATGATGACAGGTTTGCAAAAGAAACATCCAGTTAGTGGCTTCCTCCTCCTTGACAGGCGAGGAGGATGCACTAGATTCTCTCGAGTGGAGTGTCTGTCATATTGGGGGATATCCGTGTTGGATATTTGTGCTTTCAAAAAAATGCAGTGCAAGATATTTTCGGAATGGATGACGGGCTGAATTTGTCTTCTTTCTGCATGAATCTTATTATCCAGCATTTCCTCAAATGGTGGTCTGCGCTCTGCTTGCTGCCGTGCCCCAATGAATCGCTCAGTGCATTGTATACTTGAATAAATACGCCGGCCCTCTAATAGACGGCATGTGTAATTATTCAGACTTACCAACGTAACAAACAAAATGAATTAGTTGCCTACTTTGTCGCTCGCCAAAACATCAGCACCCGCGGAAGTATGGCATCAAGAATGTTGACGTTCCCTGCACAATATTAATGACGATCATGTTTTTGCCACAATCAGGCTTGTAGATAAGATCCAATCATTTCGATCGTTTTTTTTTTTTTTTTTAATCCTGCAACATAAAAAAAATAGACCTCAAAATAATGGGCTTTTTGAAAATAAAAGAAACAGTCAAACATACTAGTTGTAGTGATGCACGATATGAACATTTTCGACCGATAACCAATAATTTCCTGCTTTGGTTTAACAATAACCTGAATTATTATTGTTGTTATTATTATTTTTGGTACACTACAAATATATCTGTTGTTGCAGCTTCTTAATGTAGTGGGGTAGAACGATGATATTAATAAAACAAACAAAAAAAACCCCATCAAGTCACGTTTTTCTGCTTTTTGAATTCTTGTCACTTAAGACGGTCCAGCGATGAGCAATCTCAAAAGCTCTGACGCATATTCTATCTGTGAATGAAGTTGGTCGCATTCTGTCTGAGTTCTCAGTTTTATTACTTTTTTTTTTTTTTTTTTTTTAGGATCAATCCATGAAAAATGGGTTGAGAAGAAATGAATAAAACATGCAATGGACGCATCAAGATGGTGCTACGGCCACGCATCTGCAATTGAGGAAAAACAGTACATTGTTGTTCCTTTAATAAGAGCTTGCAAGAAAATCTCGATTTCTTTGGCTCGGCTCCCATTTCACTTTCTTGTGATGGAGGACCAAAACACACAAACAGAAGTGTCATATAGAAGATTCTTTTTAATATGGTGATATTGAATCCAGCCGTATTACTCATCCAGGGAGCGTGTCTCTGTCGGAAATGAAAAAATAGAGCACCGTTATCATCAATTCACAAGTGTCCTTTGAGCAACGTGTTTATCTCTTTTGTATTTTGCAGCCCTATAGAATCCTGCCAGAACTTCTACAAAGACTTCACGTTACAGATCGACATGGCCTTCAATGTCTTCTTCCTCCTTTATTTCGGTCTGCGGGTAAGCAACACGTGATGCTTGTGTCTCAACACACCATCATTGAGAATGAACCTTTCCTTCCTGAAAAATTTTATTGATTAAAAATATCGTGAAAAATCAAGTCGTTCTGTCCGCTCTTAGGCAGTGTGCTTGTCCACTAAATACTGAAACCATGCTCCAACCTGGAAAAAAAAAAATCTTTTTTTTTTTTTTGCTGGCATTTTATGGCCTGCTCAGGTTCTCATTTTTTGTGAAGGACGGCAACTAATGCCGAATTCCAAAGTGTGTCTTGTAGCATTGTTTTCGCCATACCCCCAAAAAATTGGGAAAACTGAAATGGGGAAAAAAACGGGCGGCCCGGTGGCCTAGTGGTTAGCCCGTCGACCTCACAGTGCAGTGGTACTGGGTTCAATTCTAGCTCCGGCCTCCCTGTGGAGTTTGCATGTTCTCCCGGGCCTGCATGGCTTTTCTCCGGGTATTCCGGTTTCCTCCCACATTCCAAAAACATGCATGGCAGGCTGATTGAACACTCTAAATTGTCCGTAGGTGTGAGTGTGAGTACGGATGGTTGTTCGTCTCTGTGTGCCCTGCGATTGGCTGGCAAGCGGTTCAGGGTGTCCCCCGCCTCCTGCCCGAAGACAGCTGGGATAGGCTCCAGCACCCCCCGCGACCCTTGTGAGGATAAAGCTGATCATAAAATGGATGGGCGGATGGAAATGGGGAAAAACAGTTTCACGTGATATCTCACAATTCAGTTCTATTTGTTTGTCAGTCCTTGCACAATGTTCACTAAACGCATCTCAATTTAGTGGGTCTTAAGTATTGCGGTATCAAACTCGTAATTATATTTATGCACAGCCTAGATCAAATGAGCTCTGTTTTACATTGCTGTCATCCCAGCAAAAGTCTTCTGGCGAGCCTGACATACTAACAAGTGACTAAATCAACTCATAAGCTACTTATGCCCCAACCACGGGGCATGAATCAGCAAGTAGGGTGATGCAAGAGTGGAGTCACCGCAAGTTGCCGTGAACGTGCGTAGGTGCTTCTGTTTGTGATTTTGACTCCCCCTCTTTCTTCTCGCAGTTTATAGCGGCCAACGACAAGCTGTGGTTCTGGCTGGAGGTCAACTCGGTGGTTGACTTTTTCACTGTTCCTCCCGTCTTCGTCTCCGTCTACCTGAACAGAAGCTGGCTCGGTGAGTCGTCACAGCTCCCGTTTGAAAGTGGTTTTCCCCTCAACGCAAGCATCTTACCGCTCCTCTTTCATACCACTGGACCTCAATCTTTACCTGTCAACCCTCCTCTTTATCACTGACCATCGACGCCCCCCTCCCCCCTCTGTTTCGCTATTACCGCGAGTGCATCTCTGAGGCTCCCTGGCTCCCAGCTGCAATCTTCTTTGCCTTGTCATGCAAAGTGACAGGAAATCTCCTCTGATATTTCAAAGGAGCATAGCAGTTTCTAATGGGGAGGAGAGTGACTTTGCTTGTGTGTATGTGTCTTTTGTTTAGACGTTGCACCTGAAATGGCTCACAGTGACCCAGCATTGCGATGCATTCACAAAGAACTAGCATTAGTTCCTCACACACACACAAACACACGAATGAGCAGTCTTGCATGAGCAGTCTGGAAAACACCCCAACCTGTATTACATAACGGCCTACTTTTATCTGCGAGTTCAGAGTATTGTGACCTAAATTACACTGCAGTATAAAGGCTCCGTCTTGCTCGGGTGCACAGCTACTCTGCTTGTAATACCGTGAATAATACTCCTACCTCAGGACCTCGGCCAAACGCAAACAGAGACTTACATATGTGATCCTGAGCTATGATGCTGTCACAATATAAAACGCTCGACTCAAATAATGGAATAATGCGGTTCCACTTCAGTTCGTTTACCTGCGCTGCGTTTAATGTGGCATTATACAAATATTTACATGCGGCATTATGCTATTGTGTTGCGAGATTGAAACGCCTTCTTTCTACTTACTCCTACCAGCTTGGTACTCTCTGCAATTGAGTAACGGTTTTTGATCAAGTTAAAATCATGTTTTTTTTTGTTTTTTTTTTTGGTGCAGGGGCTGTACAATTTATGGCTCCCCTCTTATAAAAGCCTTTGTCGAAGCAGATGCGTGGTAACCTTTCCGCAAGTAAATAAGCACACTTGGCCACTATTTCAGATACTTTATATTGGAGAATAAAAAAATGCATGCACCAAAAATGCAATTGGAAAAATGTGATTATACAAATAAAGGCCGGTGCTTAAGTACTACTCCCTTTCAGTTGGCTAAATAATCACACACGACCACTATATGAGAACACACTGTATAATAAAAAATGTTTTTGTACAAATAAAGGCTTCTCCTAATAAATGCCTTAGACCTAATGGATGCCTGAAGAAATGAAGAACACCTTTTTTAATAGCAATTTATGTAGATGTGGCCTGAAATGATATATTTTAACTCGAACCCGTATTTAAAAATACACCTAGAATTTGCGTTGAAACTATCTAATATTTACGGACATGTGTATGCAGACTTTTGGAATACCTGGGTCATAAAATCGCTGAGTAATTATGAGGTATTGAGGGTTTCTGGAAACGCCCCACCGTGGCTAATGAATCCCACCAGGAGTTCAAGTGTTCTAATGAATTCGAGATGGTCAAGTAATCCGGTTATTGGTGCTCATGATGCAAGGTGTCCTCGTCTCCTCAGAAAATCACCGCAGCGGGGATCTTGATGAGGATGATGAAAGACGGTGAAATGGGGCTCTGGCTTCTGCTCGACATTCTGTCGGGTGTATTTACCTGTGACTTTTTTTTTTTTATGTCCTATATCTGGGCCTGGGATTGAGAGCATTTGGACTGAAATGCGCAAAACAGGAGCTAAGATGAATGAAATTTCAAATGTCAGATTTATTAATCAAAAGAATTATGGTTCGAATATCTGTTGCATTTCTCTCATCTATAACGGAGGCGAGGAGATTGTAACAAAACTCCTTGTGGCATGCGAGGCAAGTGTTTACTGGGGGTAATATTTTCCCACATGCCACAGGCTTCATAAACCGTTGCCAAGGATTGCTTATGAAATTAACATGCATATCTGCCGGCGCATGTTGCGTAGCCCAACGGGCTGGCAAAAAGCTTCCAGAATACTAATGAGACTGTCCGAGTCACCGTTGATATTCACGCTGTGATGAGTTTGGACAGGAGTCGTGATTAATATACAGGTCATGCATTGTGTAATGTGGCGTTTTGGTACCCTCACGTGCCGGATGAATAATCACAATTAATCACATGCCTTGGAACCTCAAGTGCCCCAGAAGTGGTATCATTTTGATCTGTGACTTTTTTTTTTTTTCACAACTTGCAGTCCTGGTGAGGATTAAACATACGATGATGATAACAGAACCATGAATAGAACTGCAGCATAGGAAAGTAGTTTACTTTTTCATAAATAAGAGCAATATCACCAACATAATTGTCACTGCCGAGCAGAAACTCTGTCCAAATTTGATCAGTTTCATATTTGTCCAATCGCAATGTAAGTGAGTTGAATGACTGATCTAAAATGTCACAAATGGCTTTTGCTCCTTGATGATGCAGTGTTAATTGCTCATCAAACACCTCATTTTTGTCGATATCCGGAAACTGAAAAAAAGGACAATGGCTAATGACCACTGAAGCCCTCCATCAAACGTTTAATTTTGCAGTAATCCGCCAGTAATCATCGGCAAAGGGATGGAGCACTCCTGCGAATTCCCCAAAAAATGTGAGCGATTGATGCCCAGTCAACATAGCTCCTTGACACCAATCAACTACTTTTCGATTAGGCAAGGCTTTGGTGCCATCTGGTGGTATATTAGGGAATTTTAGAAGGAACGCAAAAATGAATATGTGAATTTTCCAGCAAATAGTTGAGGATAGATTAACCAAAAACGTGATTAGGTAAATATGTGAATCATTAACTGCGAATATGCGGGTAATTATTGTATGCTGTACATGTATGGGTGTGTTGTTTTACTTCATATGACATCTCATCTAGTGTCCGCCCCGTGAATGACTTGTGACCAGTCCGGTGTGTCGTCCGCCTGAAGTCAGTTGGCAACAGGAGAACAAGGTTATTCTGGTTTGAGAAAACGAATGAAACGACAATGAAACCAACAAAATAAATATCGAACTAAAATTGGATGTTAATGAGACAAAATAACAGAAAACGAACTGAAATTTAGCACACTTACTGTCAAAGCTATTGACAACTAACTGAATTAAAAAAAAAAAAATAAACAAAGGTCAAAGTTGTGAAAAGTCGATATATAAACTCTCATCTTAGAAACTTGTATGACCCTGTAGGATAAGCAGTCTGGAAAAATAATAAATGGATGTGTTCTTTCCTATGACGAGGGAAAAAAGTCAACATGTCATGACTCAACCTGCACCAAATTACATTGGATGGTAGAGGTACAATGGTTTCACTGACAATCAATCCATGAAACTGTAATTACTGCCTCGTTCATTTACTTAAGTGTCTACAGGATTGTCTCCCTTAAGCGGGAAGCCGAAGGCAGTTGCTAAAGCAGTTTCCTGCAGTGCGTTCCCAGTGCATCCTTTTTGTTTACATTCACGCCCAAGGGATACACACCCCAGCAAGTGCAATGCATTATAACGACAGCACCTGTCGGACTCCTCGTGACGTCCAGCCCACCGTGCACCAGCGCAAACAAGCCACTTTGTGCATGTCAATTTGTCCACTCTACACAGCCCCTGTGAAGTGGCGATGGAGTGGAATAGAAAAACGTGCGGCTAATGAATGAGACCATGCAGAAATTAATCCCTCTTTAACTGATTTATCATGGCGTTGCTCCCGAGGGAGCGATGGGATTATCGTATGCTAACTCTCCGTAGCTAGTCCACCTTTAATTCTCGGTCAGTAAGGGAGTAAAACTGTTGGTTTCTGTCAATAGAATGAATGATTTTATCCTGCTCTCTCTGAGGTGTGTTGGTTTCGGTGGCTCGTGTGAGGGATGCGCTGGCTCTCACGATGCAAACTGCTACTGCCTCCAAGTGGTGCTTTTGTGCACTGCGGGTAGCATCAACCCTAAATGTACATTTAGGTTTGACGTACATTTTACATGAAGTTGAAACCTATCTGACGAAGCCTTGAATTACAGACGAGCCACGCCATCATTTATTACATATTCTTCATGGCACTCCAGCTTCCTCACACATTGCAAAAAAACAAGCATGTTTAATTTTAGACTTTAAAGATCAGGTGTCAAGTTAACTTGGCTAACAATCTTTTTAGTAATAATAATAATAATACATTTCAGTAATAGTTAGGGCAAAAACTATTTAAAGCGTAATTTCTTTCTTTTGTTTTTTTTTCATGCAACCCACCCAGGTTCATACCCGTAGCAACGCACTTCACAACAAAAATGCTTTTGTTTTGTCACTCTCCGGCAAGTGACATCATTTACAGAATGCAGAGTCATCAGTCAGCCATTGTAATGCATTGTTGATTGTCCCGTTAATTGCTCTTGGCCATTGTTACCGAGCTATTCGGCGAAATGCACAGTTCACATTCAGGCCAACACATGAAGTTAAGACAGTAAACAAATTAAATGCTCTTATGTACCAGTATTGTGGATGCTGAAAACATGGCGTTTATGTGAGGCTGATTTCCATCAGTTCAGTATGAATGACTGTGAATTGTGTCGAGCATGGCATCATCTAATCCCAGCAGGGGTATAATCCCAGATGAAGCATCCTGCACACTGCTGATTGATAAAAGGCCCCGGTGCGCCGGCCCATGCTAGAACACGCGCGCTACCTCGCAAAGCCTCAATGAAGCCTCCGGAAAAGCCTTTTTTTTTTTTTTTTCTCTTCAATGAGCATCTGGCCAGCTGACACGTGCATTCAACCCCCGTGTGTACAAGAGGCTTTGGCGTGTGTGGCAAAGAGATTTTCCTCATATGAGCGCACGTGTTTTCAGAGTCACCGGAAGTTCATTGAGAATTTTTTTTTCTCGGCCTGAGGGAAATAAATAAATAATGTATATATATATAAATTTTTTTTTGAGCAGCTGTCTGCCATGAGCACTTTTCACCTGAATTTACTGCTCATTGCCTTGTGAAAAATAATGCTGAAATCAGTCATGGTTTATTTAATCTCTTTGCTCTGGAATGTTTCCGTTTGTGGTCTTGATTGTCCTTAATCTCCAACAAAATTCATTTTTCATTTGACAGAAAGGATTTTAGGCAAAGCAGTGTGTGTTGATGGAATCAATGAAATTAGGAAGGTTGATGAAAGGTGAAAGTGGGTGTTTGGGATTGAAAGCATTGTTACAAAATGAAAAAAAAATAGATATATAAAATGAGATGATATTTGGCTCAGAGGGACAATATCTCTCAGAGGTCGAGCAGTTATAGCTGTGTTGTTTGTCGGCATTGACCATTTCTTTGCAGAAGTTTGGATCTTTTAACACTCGAAGAAGGCTCCCGCTTGTTCATCTATTGCTTTTTATCCCTTGAAGACATTGGTCTGGGAACCCTTTAAGAAGCAACCTTGGCTGGAGGGCAGCAAAAATTCACCTAGACACCATGATACCGCCAAAGCTGCTCATGTACCGACGCACTCTCAGCGCGGTTAATTTGGACCAGCACCAGGAGTCACATCGACGGAAGAAGTCGAGTAGCGATATTTTCCACAACGGCTATCGAGTGAGGCAAAGCCACCATGCGATGGCGACACAGGAAAGGCAGACCGGAGTGTACCATTCTTTCCGGCGCTGTTTGCGCATCCTCTTCAACTGGGGTAAAAATATTCTCTTGACACCAAATAAATGAGAAGTCGCAGAGCTGTCATCCCTTGTATTGCCCCTAATTTAATGATATAAGGAAAGACAACTCATTAAATTATTCATGAACAAACAATGTGTTTTGTTCTGCTAACTCACATTGTTGCCATAAATATGAATCAAGTACAGTACGGTATATGTATTTTTTACACACAGTGTACTTGACCATATGGTAAACTGCAGACATTTTTGGTTTTCGTCATTGTGTGTGGACATAACGTGGCAGCAAAGTTTGATGAATTGCCATAAAACGCAAAATGAGAATATTTCAGCTACATACTTCCAATTGATTCAGTGGTCCTGATGCGACGATGTCTTTCAAAGTTTTGGTCGGCTCATCGAGGGCCCATTCATCACTGCTCACGTATTTTATTATTGTTTTTTTGCAAAAAGTGTTCCTCGATAAGCTACAGGGCCGGTGTATTAATTGTGGTGATAATTGTTTGAGGTACGTTCTCTCCCATTACGCACAATTTAGTGTTGGGACACAATCACACACCCTTATCGTGGGGATTACTCATGTTATTAAAATGCCAACAAGATAGGTGTCGCATCCTAATCCCTTGGCAAGCTGCTCTATGGTCCAGATCGAGGCTCATGAGAACTAAGCCGTTTTAAGATGCACAACGGTATAAAGATATCGAGGGTGCAGCGAAGTGTCAGCAGACGTTTGTGCCTCCCACCCCCCCCTTCCTCCACCCAGTTTCAACACATTCTTGCAAAAGCTTCATTTTATATTCCCTCCTGATGGTGTAACTTCTATTTTTCCTTCTCTCCGTCTCGCAGGTTTAAGATTCCTGAGAGCGCTAAGATTGATACAGTTCTCGGAGATCTTACAGTTTTTGAATATCTTGAAAACAAGGTAATGTTCTCCTCACCGGCACATCCAGCTTCCAGAGGTTTAGTCACTCACATGCCCGCCGCGATCATGATATAGTTCCGAACTATAATAGTCCTGTTTCGTAGTTTCACGATTTGTTTCAATCGACAATTATGGGTTTCATGCCGGGTTATATATTTCATGATATTGCAGTAAAGTGAGTATGATTATGAAAGACATGAATTACTAGTCTCTGATGGAGGCTCACATTTACAGTGTGCTTTGGAAACTGATTCAAGTTTTCCAACTTCATCATATTCAATGATAATTTTTGTGATTCATTTCCCATTTTATCCATGGAAATATGCACATAAATGACATGATAAGTGGAGGAGTTGAACATATTTTTGGCGCAACTTGAAACGGTTATTTTTTTCAGATAATTATGTTGAAGAAAATAGTATGAGTTAACCCCAAATATAATCCAGCATCAAGATTTATTTTTTTTTTTGTGGCAAAAACATCATTTTCACTGTAGTTTGTTCACAAAATCCCCACCATGTGTGAAGGAGTCTTTCAGAGATGGTACTTCCTTGAGCAACTATCATTTAGAAAAGAAAAAAAAAACAAACAAACAAAAACAACCAATCAATATATTTTTTTGTTGTCAATACTATTTTATTGCATGACATGAGACGATCTTTCTCCGAATGTTCTGAACTCCTATTTCCACGCCAATGTTGGGATTTAGCAGAACTTCCTCTTAACATCTTTAGCTAACATCTGAGTTGTTGTCTTGTGCGGTTTCTTCTTGTCAGCAATTCCATCAAGCTGGTGAACCTATGTTCCATCTTCATCAGCACATGGCTCACCGCTGCAGGATTCATACATTTGGTAAGTGGACAGAAATGACATTCAGTGCGGTCCGGTGATAAATTAACGGCGTCACCACGGAGGCGCCACCCATCCATGCATTAAGTGTCACATATTTCAACAAGTTCGACCTCAAGACTTTTCTTGCCCGGTTAGCATGGTAATTTATACAGAGGAATAAAACCAACAAATTGACAAACTGACATTCTTCTATTCCACCCCCCCCCCCCCCCACTCATTTGATCAATTCATAAAGTATGTCATACTGTCAACGCAAGCAGTTGTTCCACTATTTATGTCCTGCTTCAGGTCGGCTGGGACCATCAATTATGACGTGTTTTTATGTGGAATCTTTCGGTCGCCCAATAAAAATATAATTTAGGTTCAAGAGTTTTGACATAGTAGCTACAGAAACAACAACAACAAGATTTGGGGCATGCTCTTCATTCAGGGCTGTGGTGGCATAAAACCTAGATTGTTTCTTTGGTCTAATATACTGGATGTGATATAAATGTTATAATATTCATGTGGCAGTAACGAGACGCACATTTTGTGGACTGGATTGCAAAAAAAAAAAAAAAGAAGACACGGTAGTACATTTACAGTTTATTTTTTATTTGTACTGCTGCAGTAAACTGTATCACCACTAGATGGTAGTCTAAGATCAAAACAGTGCTAACTCTCCCCAAGCAAAGATGAAAGCTGGCACGCTCGGTCATGGAAATATTCAAGTTGATTCGATGGCTTTGTGCTCAGAGATGTTTACAAGTTCCTTCTTCCCTCCTTTCATCCTAGGTGGAAAACTCAGGGGATCCTTGGGAAAACTTCCAAAACTTCCAGACACTCTCTTATTGGGAATGTGTCTACTTATTGATGGTGACCATGTCCACAGTGGGCTACGGGGATGTCTATGCAAAAACCACCTTGGGGCGCCTGTTCATGGTCTTCTTCATCCTCGGTGGTTTGGTAAAATTGGATTTTAATCGATCCTCCCTTGTTCTCCCCCATTTATTCCCTTTCCCCTAACTTCTGACCTTAAAACCTGTCTGCCCCTTTCAATATGCGGCATAGACTTGATTATGATGTCAATGACATGATGCTAAGGTGATACTTGAAACATTCCAATTTGAGAACATGTTTACCTGGTTGTATCCTTTCCTTTAGCCTCTTGTCTCTTGTGTCCCGTAATTACTCTGTGCTCCTTTCTCCCCTTTCCTTTCTGTACGTCTCACTTGGCGCTATTTTATCATGATATTGTTAATATTCACAGTTGCGGTTTCAGGACACCCTCCCTCTTGTGTCCCATCCCATAATTCCAACAAACACAGGGGCAGGGAGATGAGGCTTAGGCCGGCCTGACTGTTACCACAGCAACAGCAGCAGGAGCAGCCTCCCCTCAGGTTTTTCCGAGTACAGTCCGACCACCTTAACGCTAATGATGAGAGCGAGGTGCGTTTTAAACCGCATGCTAGAGTTTGTGAAAATAATCGTCAAGCGTCACGGATCCATTGTTATGTTATTATTAGTACCGCAGAGTTCCATTCTTAGGATGCTGACATCGGCGGCTGACAAGTAGCAGGCCTAATCTTAACCTAAAAGCAGACACGATAAAAACAAGAATTAAAAGCAATCATTACCGTGTACTTTTTCTTGACTGAAGCTGACGTTCTAGACCAGTCATCTTGTTTTCTTCATGAAAAATTGAAAAAACGAAATTTGAAAAAAAAAAACCCCAGCTTGGAGCCAAAGCAAACAGAGGAAGCTGCGGAATAGTTTTAGACACAATCATAATAAGAATAATATTAGGGAATAAAGTACACAAAAGAGACAACCTGAGTAGCTGCATCGGAGAAAGGCAAAACAACTTACTGGCATATGTATACTTTTGGTTTCATTTTTGACTGTGCACAATGTCCAGTAGTGGATTGCCAATAAAACAAAACACAGAAAAAAACAAAACACTATTGATGAATTGAATCTAGATGTGCACAAGATGGCATACAAGGAAAACTTTAGTTACTTTATCCCAATCAGAAATTGAGCATAGATTTTTTTTTTCAATGACATAGGATAGCCCCCCGCCCCCAAAAAAAAATTGCGAATGCCAAACTGCAAATGTAATTGTCGAATAAATATGCATCACAGAATAATAACTGTGCTATTACTGACATCAAATACCATAATTATGAGTTCCTGTTTGACTCTGCCATCCTCTGTTTCTTAAAAATGAGAGTGTACCAGCCGGACAACTGTCACCATCAATGTAGCGATGGCCTGCAGCTGTGTGAACGTGTCCCCTGGCGTGGCCATAGTGAAAGCTCGTGTATTTATATATTTCCCCCTTCGGCGCTCAGAACTCTGGAAAGCTTTCTATGTGAATAATGACCCCGAGCCGGAAGATGGTTTCAAAGCCAGCAATCTTCTTGAGGCTCCCCTGGAAATGCCTAACTGAAAATTTCCATGTCAATGAATGTAGCGTCAGTGAGGCTTCGGGCAAAACGCATTCAGCTCATTCTCCAAAACCTGACAAATGAGTGTCAATGTGTTTTGCAGCTGCGGGGCATCAGGAGGGCCTATTCAAATCAACCTACCCGATCATCTGTGTTTGTTGGACAAAACATGGCACATAGGTTTTTATTAAATTTCTGCTTTAATATGAGAAGAAGAAAAAAATTCCTATCACAGGCTCAGATTAAACCAGCTGTGATCAAATTGCCCAAAAGGAAAAAAAAGTCTCACGTCTCCGTAGACGCAATGGAGAGTCGCTGGATTTCGAAAGCAAAGTCATATTTCTCTCCTATGGAGAAATGTGGGTTCTCGCACACCCCAGCGCTCGCTCTCTAGTCTCTTTTTTAGCTTCTGCTTCTGTCTTCTATCTTCTCCTTAGGCCATGTTTGCCAGCTACGTCCCTGAAATCATAGAGTTAATAGGAAACCGCAAGAAATATGGTGGTTCCTATAGTGCGGTTAATGGGAGAAAGTAAGTATTCCAGACGGTTCTGCTGTTGTTCTGTGTGCGGTGGAACCCTCGCTGCATGCCTTTTGTTCTATTTTTTTTTTTTCTGTTCCATGCATGTAGGCCATGTTTGCTCGCTACGTGCCAGAAATTGCTGCTCTCATCCTTAATCGGAAGAAATACGGAGGGAGTTATAACTCGACACGAGGCCGAAAGTAAGTTGGAACGCAGACAAGGTGTGGTTGTGTGACCCACCCCCCAACCCCTTTCACTTAAAGTCAGTCACTGGGGGGGTGTTATCTCTCTTTTTAGAGCACTTAAAAAAATGGTAAACAATAAGTCACACTGCGTGACTGGAGACCTCGGCCATTAAGACACACATGTTCATGCATCTTTCCGCTCTTTGCTCTTGACCATCTTCTTCTTCTTGCTCACTCTTTGTCACTCTGAGCTCATCCAAGGGCCACACTGAAAAGAACGGGATGAGGAAAAAAAATTCACAAAGATGAATGAAAAAAAGTTCAAAATCTTAAAGGTCATCTTATAAGAATCAAGGCAGAGTAGCGGTCAGAAATTTATGATGTTAAGGCCTGGAACACGCTTCCTCACGATTATTTAACGTATACAATAGAGCTTCAAAAATTAGTCGACTCGACACAATCCAAATTGTCGACAATTCATTTAATAGTCGTTTTTTTTTTTTTTAATGTATTCGGTGATTTTTGTCAAAACTGCCTCGTCTCGCCTTTCTTCCGCTAGCTGTTTGCACATGCGCAGTAGTTTTAATCCGCGTCATCAGTGATGTGATTAGAAGCATTGTAGGCAATGTAGTGGCATGGCTAACCCGTTTTGGTAACAAAATCCAGACGTTTGGGCGCATTCCACCCAAAATAGTGAATGCAAATTTCTGTTTCATGGCAGCGGGCATCTAAAAAGGAAGCACGCAAAGGCCTATTTGGTATGCTAACATATCGTAGCGTCTACTACCTGTATGAACAGATTACGGAGGCATTTTACTTTATTCTCCTAACATGATTTTTTTTTCTTGCAACAATCTATTTTCTCCGTTTTTACACCGTAAAATTAATCGTAACTTTTGTAGAAAGAGTACACAAACCACGAATGAGCTAACAAAACATCAGATAGCTGTAGACAGGGTGCCCAGAAACAAACAAACGAACAAAAACAGTTGAAAAAAAGAAATTGTGAATAGCGAATTGCAAATAGGCGGTGGTTCGCTGTAATTGCATACATATATATTTGTTTAATGCTCCAACTTTTTTCTCTTGCACCATTTTTCCTCACAAAATGAAATTATTATTCTTGTGATTTCATTATTTCCTTTTCACTGTGGCCCGGGCACTCCTCAAATCATTTTTGTGCTGTGCTTTTCTTTCTTGACTGCTTGAAACATTCAGTGTTTAATTTGGATTTTGACAAGAGTTTTCATGACTACTACTCTTAAACTTGTCTTATATTGTGCAGTGCTTGGATCGAGCCTCTGTTCAGTTCCATCGACCAGTACAAGCATTATGATAATGATATAATGAAACGTAAATAGTCATGAAACCCCTACAGTGGATTAAAATACAAAATAAATTAATAAAACATCTGCAAATGCATTGGTGGTCCGCTGGAGTATCATCAATGATCCATTTCCTCTTCTGATTTCATTTTTGCTTGCATGCTTTTGTGGGCTCGCGTATTGTTCAGCTGCACCATTTCTGGCATGGCCTCCGCATTGACCCGCGGCCTGGTGGCTTCTTCATGCACTGTGAAAAAGCCACCTTCCCGTTGTCTGTCACCGCTCGCCCCCATGACATCATCAACGCTTGACACCACTCTGGCCCTGATCTTCAGTCAGCTCCCACACCCTTGAATGCTGGTTCGCCTCGCTCCCATTTGGAGGCTCTCGAATGCTTTTGGCTTGCTTTTGTCTTTTTTTTTTTCTTTTTCTTAACCCTGCTTGTTTCTCAGTGCTTGCCTGGTTCCTCTGTATGTCTGCTGCCGGTTGTGTTCGGCGGCTCTCACAGCCGAGAGTCCGTATATGTGAAGCTGTACACCAGTGCTCGTTGTACAGTGTTGTGCTCCTTCACCTTGTGGCTCAAACTTCATTGATATTCAGCAAGCGGATTTTATTTTATTTATTTTTTTCTTCGGCATCTTCAGTGATGCTGCCTTGTCTTCTACTTCCCAATCTTCGTTCGATTGAGATATAACTCAGCGAGTCAGATGTTAGAATAGAAAGAGGCCAGAGAAAAGAAAGAAAAGCCTTTGTTTGACAGTGTTCACCTGTCAGTGGCGCAAGATTGATGAAATGTTATGTTTGGCGAGGAACTTCAGCCCAGACTCACAAAGGGGTGCTGAGAGGAGCCCTTGTCAAAACCCAGGATACGCTCTCCCACACACTTTATTTTCTCCTTCCACTTTCATTCTGGAAGAGAACATGTGGTTACAATCACGATATCAACCCAAAGCAAAGACGTGATCACGTACAGTAAATTCGGGTATGAATGCGTTTAGTGTTTTACATATTATACACAAAGTTTTGGCCGCCATTGACATGCATTGAAAGAAGCTCTCATGGAAATAAGATTAGGCGATTACGAGTATCTGACTGATTACAGAGCTGAGGTCACGATACATTGTGAACTATTAAAGAAAGTTGCTCTAATTGAATCTCTCTGTGCGGGGGCACTGTCATTTGAAACCGCAAAACGTGAGAGGAAGCTGAATAGGGATTTCTCCCTTTCATGCTTGCGCTAGGCTGCGAAGTGTAGCACACACCCGCCAGCTGAGTGACAGCGCCGGGCTTGCGTGTGTTGATAAAATAATGGCGAGCGTGAAGTTACGTTGGCAGCTTCGCTCTCGGGCGGATCTGCGTTTTCCATTATGGTTTCCATTAAGCCCGAGTTCAGTTTGAAAAGCGGTTGGCACAGAATCTTGTCCCAAACCCTGCGATATACCTTTTAGAAGGATTTTGTCAGAGCCAACAACTCTGAGCCCCCGATCCCAAAAATATATACATTATTTAAATTGTTATGAAAGTGGGTATTTTTTGGGGTTTTTTTTTTTTTTTTTGGTTAGTTTTTTTTTAACTTCCTTTTGTATGCACTTGTGGACTGTCATTATCACAAAAAATATAATATATAGATATGTGTGTGTGTGTGTGTGTGTGTGTGTGTGTGTGTGTGTGTGTGTGTGTACATAATTGCGTAATGATAAAAATTAAAATCCTGCGATTGGCTGGTGACATGCTCTAGCTCACCCACGATCACAATGAGGACGAAACGATATCAAAAATGGATGAATAAACAAAGCTGTAATAATGTCAGTTCTGTGTATTATTTCAATTAACTGTTTTAAAATATATAATATTCTTGATTATGATGAAATTACACTTCTACATTTGTGAAGGCTTCTTGTATAAAGAGCCATTCCCCTTAAACAGCAGTGGCCAAATGACTATTTTAGCTGTAGACTTATTCATGTCTTCGCATATCTCGAGAAGTTTCGTCGTGGTAGTACCCATTATTACCCACGACCCAACACTTTTCCGACAACTGTGCTGCCCAGCCTCCACTTTTCTTCATAACATTGCAGACTATGTCAAAAGTTATTTTTAGTAAATGCCGCTGTCTGCAAAAAAAAAAAAAATGGACGGCAGGCCGCAAATGGCCCCCGGGCCGTAGTTTTGACACCACTGCCTAAAAAATTCCTGGCGCTCTGCGTTTGGGTAAATAAGCGCCCAAGGCCACATGAAAGAAAGTTGCAGTTCCAAATAAGCGTCCATTCGACCATTTCCAGTGCAAACACGAGCCGGCTGATCGAAGGATTAGAGCAGTAGCGAATTTTTGTGTCTGTTGCTGATGTTTGAGCTTTCTTTGGTTTTCATTTTCAAATCATTCCAGACCACATCCTGGGATGTTGCCCCCGACTGCATGTTCTGTATGCATGTTCTGTACTGCCCGCTTGCATTCAACGTAATTGTCTGAAATTTGTATTTAATTTTTGTTTTGAACTGATGGGAATGTATTATTATACAGTTTAAAATGGAGCTGAACTGTCTAGTCATGCTAACTGAACTGGGGTTTTTGTTCATGAGCTAAATAGTGGTGGATGTTTATTTGCTCGTGTATCTTTTTCCACAGTCTTTTTTTACATCGAAGGATTTGGTGTTAGGAACCTCTGAGGTTTCTCATTTGTTATTTTTTTTCCCCCCCATAGGAAATAATATAATGCAGGCATGTCACGTTCATTTTTCTCCCGGGCCACATTGTAGTTATGGTTTCCCTCGGAGGGTCGTTGTGACTTGGAACCCATATAAATAGATGATAACGCGATTTTATACTAATCGATTGGATAACTAGTTTTGAAGTCAGAATTGTTTGTTCAACTTTGTTTGTTCATTTTAATGGGGGAATTGGTAAAAATAATCTTACAATAGCTCATATGTCAGTGTTGTGAAGACAATTGGCAAGAAGCATGAAGTCATCAGACAGGATTTACCTTCATGGGCCACATAAAATGATGTTGTGGGCCACAGCTGGCCCCCTGGCCTTCAGTTTAACACCTGTGATGTAATGGGTCTAACTGTTGCCACTCTTAAACCTTTATTCACTGAACAGATTTTTTTTTTAAGTAACCTTTTATTTGCCATCAGGATGTTCTCTGCCAATTCAAAAGTCTCCAATGGCAGTTTTCCAATTAATTATCGTTAAAAATAATATTTAACTCTTAAGGTCTTAACCCTTGCATGCACCCTGTAACATGAGAAGCTGTCCATTGTAGTAACCGCTGTCCCTGAAAGGGTTAGAATGCCAAATGAACATTGTTGCTTTATTTTCTTTGGAAACCAAGTTTATAGTGGGGGGGTTGAATTTAAGCATAAAGAGACTGGAATTCATTCGGTATCTTAAAAAAAATGATAGACATGTGAATGGTCACATTTAGTGTATGAGAGGTCCTAAATTTGATCGGTCCTCGGCATGAGGCTTCAAACATGTAAGGTTGTGTCGGCATAAGGAAGATGTTCAACATCGTGGTATAACAGGTGGCACTTGAGTGGGCGTGGTTTCAGCGTGTTCAGCTGACGTGCCAAAGCATTGGAGAGCAGAGACAATGGCTTGATTTTTCATGATTTTGAAACTGTTTTAAAAAAAAAAAAATCATTCCAATTAGGCAGGGTCTTTTTATTATCCACGTATTGTAGCATATATCTGCTGCATTGAGAATTTCTACCTATAAAGCAAGTCATGCCCAATGCTCATCACCTTGCAGAAGGGCAAAGAGTCACCGAAAGTTTGAGGGGAAAACATGAGCGATGTTTCCCGTCTGCTTGTGCCAAATGCCGCGAGCTGCCCACGCATATGTCAGCTCGTCAGACCCGACGGCTCAACTTCTTTGCTTAGCCATCACAGCTGCCCGTTAAGATTCTTTGAAAGGGCATCTGGGAAGACCATCACGCTCCACACCGTCCATTACTGGACACTCCCATCAATCTGGAACCGCAGCTCGCCACCGACATCAACTTGTATTTCTCTCCAACTGATTTCACTCGCTACAATTCACGACGCCGACTATTAAAGTTTCCTTCCCGCCGTATGAGAGCGTAACGGCAACTTTGAAGGAAGCCGTCATGACAAATCTACGGCATTGAACAGGAACATGAATAGTGAACACTGCAACCGCAGTTAATTTTAGGAAAAAGTAACTTTATCCTTTAGGATGTGAGTGCAGAGGTGTGCGGTGCCAGGCCAAAACGAAAGTGTCTCAATTGTCTCCTGGCACGTCGCACTAAGTAGCTGATGGGGCCCATCATCATTATGAGGTATCGTTTCAAATGTCCATCGGGTAATTAGTCTCTGTGCCATGCGGTCCGCACTAATCTGTGTCAGGAGAAGGGCACATTTGGATCCAATGTTGGCAACGGAACGCCATCACACTCAAATTTAACTTCATCGTTGCACTACGTAGTTAACAATGTCTCATCACGGGCCTTAGTTTTACCCATCTGGGCTACAGACAGTTTATTTGAAAAGAATCGGCCCAAGGGGAACACCAATTAGAGACAGCGCCCCCCGACACACACACACAATACTTACAGTGACTAATATTTTCATGCACCAAATACTTTGTTACACAAATTTTAAACATGTCCTCATTAGAGGGGAGACCGCAACCAAATCTGAATTTGATCATACCCGCTTGTCCGCAATGTTACCATTTCTCATAAAATTCTGACTAAATCCACATTAAGCTTCAACACTGTATACGGCAGTTTTAACCAGAATGTTCCAAGAAAGAAACATTGTAATTTTTCCGAGAATAATGACAAACATTTTTAAAAAAAAATGACAACTTTATTTGGATAATATTAGGACATTACGACTTCATGCTCAAAATATAAATTATTCTGGTGAGATTATGATTTTGTTACAATATCGCAACACACATTTTCTTCGACTGACTTTTCATTGTTCAATTGTGACTTGATTATTGATTTTCAGACACTGTGTATTGCAATTATGCAAAAGTAAATTCGGAATGTTCCAGGAAGAAATATGTCATTTTGCATGCCTTAAAATTGCGGCATCGTTTTCATCACCGTGACTTGATTCTTTTAACTTCACACCATATTGAAAAATAAATAGTTTTGTCCACACGTTTGTTAGTGAGCAGGCTTCCTGGTGAGTGGAGGATGAAGTAATATTTTTTGAAGGAGGGCAAAGCGATTCTGCTGACCAAACAAAAGCTGGTCCGACACAGGTCGACCAGCTCACGATGCATTTCTCGGCCCAGACAGGGTCAAAACAAATAGAAAAGAGAAGCATTTCCTTTGTTATTATCATTCCCAGCCCCTGGCCATGAAAAACATTGTCCTCTTCTTGATTTGTTTTGACATTCGACAAAACGCCAGCGTCTAGCATCGACAAGGATGCAAGTGGACCAGCAAAGAGCAGAACGTCCATTTTGAGAAGCCAAGTCTCGGCTCTCGTCAGTCCCGAAGCTTTGACTTTCCGTCGCATGCTATTCACTCATACGGCATTGAGTTGGCCCAACCGAACGGACAACTACGACAACAAATATCCAACCGACATGGCGACGATAACGCAGAATAAGAATTAGGCGAAGACCGCATTCTTTCATCAGGGCCGCTTTTGTTTGGCTTGCGTCGCTGACATTTGCACTTGATCACCGGAGCCCGCGGCACTTACATCCAAACACAGATCTAACGCGCTGCCGCAATCACCGGCTGACAGATCCGTCCGCCACCGACTCCAGCCAAGTTCTTGTCACCGGGTCCTGTTTAGACTGGGAGTCAAGCGGAGGCCTCCCAAATCCCCCTTTGAACGTCTTTTTCAGCGTTCGTGCTGCAGAAGAGTGCCATCATATTGATGCGCATGTCTTTGTCAGCATCCATTCCCCTTACACGAGGCGCGGTTTGGCCGCCGGGACGACGTTTATATTGAGAACGGATGACGGGCCGACCGCTGCGGGCCGCGTGATTATAACTTTGATTTTGCTAAAGTGGCTCACAGTCGAGTGTTTGATTGCGCTCGTTCTACAGGTTCGAACCACTTTTTCTATGACATGGGGGGGGGGGTTATTCACTTTAATGGCAAAAGCGATATAATTCAATTAGGCGTTTGCTTTGAAAATACATTTCTTGACTTTTTTTTTCTTGTTCATTTGGTGCTTTGGTTTTGGCTGATGATGTTTGGGAGACATGCCAATGTCTGCAATGATTTATGTTGCCCACTCAAAATGATTTCTTCCCCTCCCCTCCTTTCAGGCATATTGTGGTCTGTGGTCATATTACCCTCGAAAGTGTCTCCAACTTCCTCAAAGACTTCCTACACAAGGACAGGGATGATGTCAATGTAGAAATTGTTTTTCTCCATAAGTAAGTTCACGTATTTGTGCTCGGTGTCCTAAAAAAAAAAAAAAAGCGAGCCGTATCGGAAGTGTGCTTTCATGTACTGACAAATGTCCCCCTTGTGTGCCAGTATTTCCCCTAATCTTGAGCTGGAAGCCTTGTTCAAACGCCATTTTACACAAGTAGAGTTCTACCAGGGATCTGTGCTCAATCCTCACGACCTGGCTCGAGTCAAGGTACATTCCATTTTAGCACTTTTCGGAGCCTCTTATTCCGTTCGAACGTATCGTGGATGAAGTCACAAACCGACATGTCGTATGGAAATGATTTAGACGGGATCACACTTTTAAATGATGGTTTTCAAATGAAATCTAGCCCATATAAAATATTTGAGTGGTCAGAAAAATGGGCTGAAACGATGACGTTTTATTTATTTGGAGTGTAAATGATATTTATACATATTTGGACGGGGTTTTCTAAAATAGACTCCTGAAAATATATTTTTTTAATTTAAAATTTGTAATTATTATTCTGCCAATTAGATTTTTTTTCCACATAAATTGACTTTTGCATTCTGACAATATCTTTACCTTTATTTTATTAAATTTTGATTTATTTTTCTCATGAAACAACAACTTTAATTTTTGAATATTTTGGCCTGACCTGTAAAATTTTTGGATCTTGGTATTGTAAGACTGGTGTATAATGATGTATTATTTTATGAGAATAAAGTTGAACTGTTAAAAACACATAAAATGGTGAGGATAACCTCTTAATTTTTATTCAAAGGAATTTTAAACTTCATGCTTGTAAAAAGAAAAAAATCATAATCGTCTGACTGTTACTTTCATGTTTTGGTGTCACACTTTACATTTATAGATATGTATATATTGTAGATTTTTTTTTCTTTTGAATGCATATCTTGCAGCTATTGAGTTATGTGTTGCATATTTCCACGAGAACATTTGACAGTGCTAAAAATGCATTGCTTGAGGATATCCACTTTTAAAATCCCGAGATTGATCACATGACTAATGTCTCTGAATACCCGAAGAACAGAAACAGAAATGGAACCAGGTTAAAAGGCAGATACAGTACATTTGATTTGTGCGGGCTCGCGTGACATCACTGACACGTCCGGCCGTAATCGGAAGTGTTTCAATGACTGACGTATGTGTTTCGACCCGATACTCGCACATAGATTGAGTCAGCAGACGCCTGCCTCATCCTGGCCAACAAATACTGCGCCGATCCTGATGCTGAAGACGCCTCCAACATCATGAGGTTAGCACAAAATCGTCACTTGATCGCGCATTCTTGCTTTTTTTTTTTTTTTTTTTTTTTAAATTGATTGTGTTTTTTTTTCTCCACCTACAGGGTCATCTCCATCAAGAACTACCATCCCAAAATCAGGATAATAACACAGATGCTTCAATATCACAATAAGGTGAGACTGTTGGTGGACCAAACCTGGGCGCAATACATACTTCCAGCCACCAGGGGCATGTGTCGATCTGTGGAGTAAAATGGGAAGACTCTCTTTTCGAGCATGTTGTGGGCCCCGGTGAACTCATCGCTTGCTTGCAGCTTTATTTTCTTATTTGGGGCCCGAGCACCAGCCAATGGCAAAACCTTGTTGGAATCACATTCTTAAAACAAACAAATTGCCATTTTCAAGCCCTCAACCAGCGCAGACATTTTCACAAACTACATGTATCCTCACAAAAACATAATTATTTTAAAGATCCTGAACCAGAACTTCCAGACATTCTCTCACTTGCTTCCCTTGGAAGCTTAGAAAACCTTTCATCCATCTACACAAAATTGGGGAGACATGTTTACCTTAACGGGACTCACTTAAAGTCTGAAAAGGAAGTTGAGCCTTTTTTTGGTTTGAAGCAAACATTTTGAGTAAATTCCAGGGTTCGAATTCGGAAAGTTGTCCAAATGAGCCTCAGCCGGAGCCAGGTGTCTTCGACAGATGGCCGATGCTCATTTGTCAAGATTTTGATGGGTCTCCGCCGATGATTTTGCTACGTGTAATCTGTGACACGCCTGACTTTTTTTCATGAATTGATTTTTGATTCACTGGATGGAATCTGGACGACCTTGACGCTGCTTTCTTGCATGTAACCTCACAAAAAAAAAAAAAACATGAGTCACTCATTCCACTCTTTGCTGACATCCTGTGTTCGTACGTTGTCGCCGGGCACAGGCCCATCTGCTGAACATTCCGAGCTGGAACTGGAAGGAGGGCGATGATGCCATCTGCCTGGCCGAGCTGAAAGCGGGCTTCATCGCCCAGAGCTGCCTGGCCCAGGGCCTGTCCACCATGCTGGCCAACCTCTTCTCCATGAGGTCCTTCATTGAGGTAACTCCTTCCCCGTCACGCTGATAAATCCAGACTCACGTTGCGTTTGGCTTCAATGAAACTGATTCATGAGAAGATTGGAGGTGAGGCCAACATAAGTAGCTACAAGCGTGCCGGAGAGTGACGCAAGGCAGAACACTTCCCCGGTAAATTTGAGACATCCTCGTCCAGAGCCAGAGAGACTAACCATTAGTGTGTTCAGATGTCCCAGCACATCATATTTTACCGCCATATTTCATCTGGAATCTATTTCCGTGGCGGAGCGCTGAAGAGGTGCTCGCTTTTATCAAAGGACCGTTCTCGTGACATTAAGATGATGGATCAATACGTAATGAGCAGGCCCCCACATCTGCACACCATATTGGCGAGGAAAAACATTGACGCTCTGACTTCTCCGCCGTTTATTTCCAGATTGAGGAGGACACATGGCAGAAATATTATCTTGAGGGAGTGGCTAATGAGATGTACACCGAATATTTGTCCAGTGCCTTTGTGGGCCTCTCCTTCCCCACCGTGTGCGAGTAAGTACCCCTTCTTTCGGCTGCTCGGCCAGCCCGCCCGCCCACGGTAGGTTTTACGTCGAGCGGGAGTGAAGACGGCCATGTAAAACAACGAGAATCTCCCTGATATTCTTCTCCACGTATTTTATTTTATTTTTTCTCAGGCTGTGTTACGTGAAGCTGAAGCTGTTGCTCATTGCCATCGAGTACAAGTCGGAGCAGAGAGAGAGCAGGTTTGTATGTGACAAAGGCTCCCATTGTACTCGAGATGACAATGCGTTTGACGCCATTCCGTTGGGGAACACGGCAGCGGTTGGAGATTAAACTGTCTGCGTTTTAAATGCCGCAGCAAACCACTGTCAAGTGTCTTCTTGATTCTTCTGCAGATGTACGGAACCAACAATCAAATAACTCGTTCTTTCTGCTCAATTGTTATGTTCTAGTGAACCGACAAATAGTTGACTTAAGACAGAATGTACAGAAAATATCCTACCTTGGGTCAATTTTGAAGAGAATCAAATACACATTTCAATTTCGTCTCTTTTTTTTTCTCCTTAACTTCTGTTGCTTCCTTGTCGGCTTTAATACCAATAATACCAAATCAGTATAAGGGCTGCACTGAAAAGAAATAATGAAGTAATGAGGAAGTCTTAAATTTATGAGAATTTTTGCGGGAAAAAAAAAACTATTTTTTTTTTTCTTTTTCAAAATTGTCGTATGACCCGCCATATATTTTTTTCGTTCAGAAATGAACAATGCCGCATTCCAAATTGTGCCACATCAACAGCATCATCACTATGAACACTCTCAACATTTTGATTTGACTCTCATAAAATTTCAACTTTAGTTTTGTGGAATTTACATTTTTCTAGGAAATATTTTTCCCTCCATGATCTCTTGACTTAATTCTCATAGGATTAAAATTTTGTTTTCCTCTTCTATATGAAACTGTACCTCAATTGTCACTATTTGACTTTTTTTTGGGTAGAGCTTTTACTTTTCTTCGCAACTTTCAGAACAGAGAATTCAAGTCAAATTGAGTGTTTTTTCCCCCAATACTATAAATATCATCACTTTCTTGTAAAATTTTAATTTCATTGTAAGAGTCTGACTTATCGAAAAAGTAGTCATTTTACTACATTTCTCAAGTTATAATTTGAATTTAGTTTTTGTAAAATGATTACTTCTCCAATTCATATATTTATTTTTCTGTTTGCAATTTTTGGAAGATTATTATATGTTTAAAACGATTCTTTTAATACGCCAACTTAAATCTTGCAAAATCCGTTTTATTTTTTGTGGCATTTCAATTTATTTATTCATTTCTTTTTCTTTTTCGTGTGGCCCTAATACTCTTTGAACTCCCCATTTCCTCTTCCCCTTCAACATTTACCCTGTTTTTTTTTTTTTGGTTTTTTTTGGTGAGTGTGTGTGTGTGCTCAACACACCAGAAGCCTTAAAATTGAATATGGACATAAATGTATTTCCAATATGTTCAGCGATTCTAGCTTCGTCCCAGTGGATTCTTGAACTTTGCATATCGACTGTATTCGTAGACGAACATACTGTCTGGTTGGTGAAGAAAATGTAAACAGACATGTTTGGGAATCATGATTTCTTTTTTTTTTTTTTTTTACATTTTTTTTTGAAAATGAGTTGATGACCTGGTTACACGCAAACATGCCAACTGGTAACTCATCCAAACGTTGGCAACAGTTGCTTGTGTTCTCCTGTTTGATTTGAGATTTTGTTCTTGTTGTTTGCAGAAGCCGAAAGCGGTATGCCCTCTACCCTATCTTACTTCCAAAGTTCCGCCACTAAAAAAATTTTTTTTTCCTCCTCCTAACTCTTTTCTTTTATATTTTTTGATGGTGTCCCTTGTGCTCAATGCACTAACTTCTTTGCAGCCAGAGAAAGAAAGAGAGCAACTCGATGAATTGGACATGTTTGTAGGAGTGCTGTTTCTTTGTCTTTGCTGTTGTCATCGTACCAAGGCCAAGCGCTCACCCTCTCCCCATCTACCTCTTATTTGATTTCTTTTTCTTTCCTCGACCAGCCCCTTCGCTTCGTTGATTTCTCTCACTTTTAGTTCCCTTCGTTCAGTTGTGACCTAACTCTGTGTGTGTTTATCTTTTTTTTTTTAATCCAATTACTTCCAATCTTTGCCCAATCAAGTGCGAAGTTTAGCACAAAAATATGACGGATGTGCTGCTGATAATCTCTTGTTTGACATTCTGGAGACCCGCTGATTATATCTGTCGGCAGTGCTTAATATGATAGCATGTCGTCTTGTCCCACATGGGTTGATTACACCAGCACCCATTCATTCAGGAAAAAGGCATGGACATTTTGGATAACATTAAGTGTATCCAAAGTGAAAGTTTTACCCCCCCCCCCCACCCCCATAACACCTCCCCTCCCTCCCCATATGCATTCACTTTTGCATTCCATCGCCTCTCATGTTGTCAATGCTTCACGTGCTGCGCATGTATGTGATCAAGGGAGAAAAGGGAAGAAGCGCACATGCCAACGCGTGTGCGCGTGTGTATGTGTTTGTGTCAAGCCGCACTGTCTAGTCACTCCCATATACTGTATATGCGTGCGTGTGTGTGTGTGTGTCTCTGGAGTAGATGTCCTCAAGTAAGGTCACTTCCTGTCAGTTTGGTGTTTAAGAAACAATCCAACTGCACAGAAGTTACTGCAACCGTCTGCATCTACGTACCCGTCCCCTATACCTGTACTGCAGTGGCTCCCACCCCTTCCTCCTCCTCCTCCTCCTCGTCCTCATGTCGTTTGGTATCTTTGCATGCTCCAAATATGATGCCTTCACATGATATTGGTGTTGGACTGCCTGCCTTGTTGCTCACAATATGAGGTTTTCACGCTTCCGGAAGTTTCCTTTCGCCACCTGACTAATGCACCTGGAAAATCTCAGATTGGGGCAGCAATGTTTTGTACGAGTGTTTTAATCGGTTTATTCATTCGTTTGTTTGTTTTCACTAATGAGCATGCTTGTCTCTCCGGGGGGCTATTCAATCTGAGTGAATTCCGATTTTGGTGTGATTTTACATGATGACACAATGTGTGGACTTTGAAATCTTAACTGCATGACTTGCACAATTTGTGGAGATATGGATTCAATTGCTCCCTTGATATTTGTGATCTGACTATTAGAGTGTGATAGAGCCCAGAGGAAAGATATTACACATCTACTTTGCCGAATCACAAATTTAAAATAAAAAATAAATAAATTTTGAAATCTGATCAGTATGTCGAGTCTTTCATCTGGGCTCACGTTGTGGAGGAGTGTGACCTTCAAGGTCTGTGGAATCTGTGTGTGTGTGTTTTAAAAAAATTGGTTTCACACTCACATCATTGATGACTGTTGCCCACAGGTAACCATTAATGAGCTGTGTGTGTGTGTGTGCGTGAGCGCCGATAATAAGTGCGTGTGATGTTTTCTCTCTTCATGTCAGTCTAATTAATGGGGAATGATACAGCCATTTTCAGTCCAAGAACATTGCACTCATCATGCAAAGGGTCACAGTCACATCCCCTTGTACTGTATTTTCATATTTTCATTGAAAGTAAAAAATGGAAATAACATCGAAATCGTTTTCGACCCCATCTCCTAAATAAGGCGGCTGTTTCAAGCTAACCAAATAATGCACTTCTTTTACAAATGAAACGAGCCAATAAGAGGAGGCGCTGTTCATTCCCTTGCATCCCACTGCCGAATAACAACAAATTAATTATTCTAATTATAATTCACAGTTTCTGCCCTGCACTCATGTCTACGTGTAAGTGTCATCACAATACTTGTCCAAGTGATGATCAGTAAAGAAAGACTTAAAATCATCTGAGCATTCATATTTTACATTCTTTCCTTCCCTCCCCATGATTAACGTATCCCCGAATAGTTGACAGAAAATGTTGCGTCCAAGGCTGCTGGGAAATTAAATCACCCACCCAGAGCTAGCATGTACCTCCAAGCATAGTTAAGAAACGTAGCTGTTTGGGGTTTTTTGTGCTCTTTCTATCATGCCAGAAGATTCCACCAAAGCCCTGGCTTATAGGAAAGTAGTAATTGTGGTCAAGGAAGTATGGTTGCCATGATGCAACTGGACCAATAGGTTGAGGAGTAGTTCAGCCTGAGTTGTTAGGGTTGAAAAGACACACCAAAGTTAATATTGGATTTGTGAGGGTTTTGCAAATTGTTGGCTTATCAATACGATATCATAGCCGGCATAGTTGTAAGTGGAGAGTCTTTGCCACGGGTACACATGCACATCAGGTCCAATTTTTCAAAATCCAATTATCGATTGGCCATTTTTTTGGGTGTGTCCGATTTTGAAATATAATTAGGAATTCGATGTGGGTTCATACTTTGTGATATGTTTACGGTTCAAGCAATTATAAACAAACTTGAGGAGTTACCCCAGGGCTCAGTCCCTTCCCCACTTGAATAGTGGTGATTAACCGCTTAATTGCCCTAATTAGCTCATATCAGTGAAGGAACCATAATGATGCACAGAAGTGGCCCACATACTGGACTATCATAGAATATTTGTAATATTAAAATAATATAATTTGTGAAAATAAAATGCTATATTTGAAATACATAAAATATATCCATGAGGGAGCGAATAACTTTGTTGTTGAACTCTATTATAAATATTGCAAATTTCTCTATTGTGGGACAAATAAAGGTTTTCTTATCTTAAATAGCACAAAGAGTGCTCCAATAAGTTGACATTTGCATATCCCCAAGATTTTCTGATGAAAGCGTGTATGTACCATTCCTCTTGATTAGCATGTGGTGTCAGCGTGAGCATGGGCATTGTTCCCCAAAGTTAATGAGCACCCGGTGTGCTATGTCTGTCCTTCCCCAGCATCCTCATCAACCCGGGCAACCATGTCAAGATGCAGGAAGGAACGCTGGGATTTTTTATCGCCAGCGACGCAAAGGAAGTGAAGAGGTGAACGCCGATGACTCGCTGCTGGCCCCACAAGCGAGTTGGGAATCAAGTCCTCAAAATGCACACATGTCTTTTCAGAGCTTTTTTCTATTGCAAAGCTTGTCACGATGACATCACCGACCCCAAGCGGATCAAGAAGTGCGGCTGCAAACGACGTGAGTATCCCGGCCTTTATGTCGTACCCCCCACCCCCTCTCTCTCTCTCTCTCTCTCTCTCTCTCTCTCTCTCGTCCCTCTCCCCTCCTTCCCTCCCTCTCATTCCCCAACATTCCGTCCGTTTGCTACTTTTTAAACTCTGCTATTACTCCTCCTATTGCGTCGCCGCTCCTCAATACTGTGGCACTGAGTGTATGTTTTAAGGTAAATAAACGCTCAAAAGGTGTCTTGTATATACAGTAGCATCCAATCTGGTACGGTATGATCATCAGTTTTACTTTTGTGTAAATACTTAGTTTGTGTCATCTTTTTAGTTACTATGTCATTTAAACATTGTGTCACTCCACTCATAAAATATATATTGAAAATATTAATTAGACTAATAATGGAAATGGCCGAGTTATTTTATGGTAAATTACTGAAGAGCATATATAAAGATGCATCTCAGTAAATTCAAATATGGTCAAAAAGTTTATTCATTTGAGGAGTTCAAATCAAAAGGTGCCTAAAATACAAATTCATGAAGCAGAGGGAAATAGTTTTCAGAAAGGTATATTCTATCTTTTGAGGTGCTGGTTTTGGAATTTAATTCGTTAAAAATAAATTACGACACGTTTCATTCAGGGTAGTGCATCAATATATTTTTAAATTCAGTTACCGAAAAATTACATTCTTGACAAAATTCTAATTTGTTGAGACCTGTACATTTGAGAAATGTAGACCATATATAGAGTTGAAATAATTTGTAATTTTAGAACATTTATTCAGTATTTATTTCAAAAATGTATGCATTAAATGCCCAAAAAAAAGGTCAGCCATAATTTCTCTCTCTCTCTCTCTCTCTCTCTCTCTCTCTCTCTCTCTCTCTCTCTTTCTCTCTCTCTCTCTCTCTCTCTCTCTCTCTCTCTCTCTCTATATATATATATATATAAAATGAACAAATTGTTTAGGGTTCCAGTGTACATAATTTCAGTTATTAATGCAGCAAATGCATTTGAAAGTGCACTTTGTTCATTCATTATATTTGTAAACATCATTAATATGAAACGTCATGTGCACTGTAGCCACCAATTGTTCGAGTGAACAGCCACTATTAAGCTCAACGGTCAGTAACAATTACATTAGTGACAAAAAGCAGCGTTCTAAAATAGACTCTCTAATTCCTGCTTTTGTCTGTGTCATAATTCATCAGTAAATTGTATGCCCCGCCCACTCAGTCTAGCTGGCTGACCTATGCACACCTCATTTTGACAAACCATAGCTAAAACAAAAGAAATCTGTTCATATTTGGTTCTCTTCAACACAAAACAAAAGAAATCTGTTCATATTTGGTTCTCTTCTGTTGTGTTTTTTTTTGTTTGTTTGTTTGTTTGTTTTCCTCCATGTTTCTTTATGACCAGTGACGCACTCTTTGATGTATTTCCTCCCCTTGCTGCCATTGGAAAACACCACATAATTTTAACTACTCACTGCTAGTGATTTATTGTGAGTAAAAATCAAAAAATGGGTGTCCGACTATCCAAAGTGTTCCTTTATTTTTCCTCCTCTCTTCCTCAGCAAATAGCCCACTGTATCTATGTTGCATGTACCAGTGTAGCTTCTGCATCCCACTCCTCGCCTCTCATTTTGACACTGTGCTCAAACCAGCAGAAGCGAGCCTCCTCATCACTGCTCCATTCAGCTGGTGCTCTGACTAAGTTTATACAGGCAACGGTAGAGAGCGTGACCCAATGACACCCCCCCCCCACACACACACACACACACAGACACACTCAATAAACGCCCTTACAGCGACACGCTCCAGCAAAGTCCTCGAGAAATGTAATGCACATGTGAGATGTTAATTTAAAAGGCCCTAAACTATGAACTGAGGTTTAAATCTGTCAGGGGAAGTTTGGTGTGTGTGATTGTGCTTTGTGGGAACTTCTTCAAATCCCACCAAGCACTCACCCTACAAAAAAAAAAAAAAAAGCACCCATTGCCAAAACACAATGAAAACAATCTGGACTACCCTTTAGCCCACTTCCATGTCAGTTTCAGTGATCATAGTAATCGATAGCCACTAGATGGTGCAGTCGTGCCAGGAAATAAACCCCACCCTTTGAATTCTGTTCAGCAAAGCAGCATGAAGCAAATGGGTACTTCAAATGAAATGAGAGATATTTTTAAAAAAGAGTCAGCATTTTCTTAGCTCTTAGACTCTTCTGAATAACTATGGACACCCTTCTCATTTAGCGTGGATTCCTGACTGCAAGTCCACTACAATATTTACTGTAATTTGAAACATTTTTGTGGCCTTGTCAGTTTCACACTCGTTTCTGTTATTCGCCACAGGGTACGATCTCGATCTGGGGGTTCACTTATGTTCAAATATGACAGACTGTCTAGTTGGCCTGGACTGACTCCTGACACCCATTGAATTAAATTCATGTAACCCCGAGGTTGCTAGTTTTCCAAATTTAAGGGGACACATTATGTGAAACTTCCTTTTTAATTGTTTGTATTCAAACAAATGGCTCTCTGTAAGGTCGGCCATTACATATCCAAGTGTTGTGTGCTGCCTTACTAAATCCCTAAATGCCAACGTTAAGAAAACAACTGTCTAAGTTAGCATTCAGTAACATATAGTTTTATCTCGTGCTCTGAGTCAGACTCTCGTTGAAATACATCACAGTCATTCAGACACGTGAAATTGGTTTTGACATCGTCGGGTCTCTTCGAATGTATCCAATGGGGAGACCTCAAAGGTCCATAAACATACATTTATATTTAAAGTTACAATGCGCCGTTATCTGTCACTAACCTATGCTCACTCAGTATTGAAGTCATAATTTTCGCAAATATTTGTAGGGCACATACTTGGAGCCCATCAGTATACAACAATCAAATGAAAAAAAACTACGGCAGTAACTGAAAGTACATTCCTGTGGCACATAACAACATATTCTCATGCCGCTGTGTAAAATAATTCATTACGCGGTATATCAGTGAAACCGCAAATGTCTGGAACACCATAAAGCAAGGACCTCAATTTGAATAAGACCGGAATTTTGAGACCATTGTGAACAGACCACCCCAACCTCAAAATGTCAAATGTTGGAACTGCTTATACACACACGTCAGTGTTTCTGCCTTGCCGGATCCCCATATGGAATAAACCTGATTCCGATCTGAGGATATCCGATTTCAAGCGTCAGTTTCTTCTCCACGCCCAAAAAATGGCGATGGTTTCACTTTAAAGCGCGTTGTGTCAATCCAGCCTCAGTCATCATCCTCTAGGCGGATATCTGCTTATTTGTGAGAAGTCAGAAGACAGTTTCACCGTGTCTGCGTCGTGTTCTCCATTGCTCCACAACACACTTACCATGTGTCAATTTTCATTGGAACATAACATACGTTGACTGTGGTCCCAGTGCCCCACCCCCACCCCAACCCCGAGTGAAAACTCTGAAGTGCAGAAGTTCCAGCATGACCCGATAGCCTTGCTGCTCTTGTCTGCCATTCCCCTCCAAACTGCTTCATGACTGTGAACAGTTATCTTTGCACCCCCCCCCCACCCCCCTTGTCGCTGAGACCCAAATGACTTTTTTCTGCATGTTCCGGAAGCCCACATGCATGCACGGCACGGGAGGACAACGGTCCCTGAAAACCTGCGTTCCCCATTCTCTCCTCGGCCAGGAAACGTATGACTTCATTCGGTGATGTTATTGTCGGGCGTGCTTCGACGTCAAGTCAAAGATGGCCGCAGGTGTCACGGCGCCAGACGGGTATTAGGCGGCTGTCAGTTTGCACCTGGCCAATGAGAGAATGGGGAGCGGGGACTGTTGGTGCACAAAGTCACAGCAATCTCGAGACGCCGCTCAGGGGACTTTCACTCCCGCTTCCCTCGGGGTTCAGGGCTTCACACACAGGCAGACCAGATACAAGCTTAAGGGCATTTCAGCTGCAAGAGTGTTTACTGTCTATTGGTGCTAATGATGTGTTGTGATTGAGTACTCGTACAGTACTACTCTCATACTCCGAGTTGCTGGACAACGCAAAGTTTTTGTTTTTGTTTTTTTGGTACAAACAGGCTTACACAATTGGATTTGAACGTGTTCGCTTTTATTCTGAACACTCGTCCTTTCACAGTGTAATAGTATATATTAAAAAGATATTTTATTTGTGGAAAACACTTAAAGTGGTTCACGTAATAGATGGATGAATGGACTTTCCATAATGCTTACATTACACAAACATTACTGTAATTACCCAAAATAAGATTTGATAGTAGTAGACATTTTATTTGTATGAACACTGGCCAGCAATTTCTTACTATTTTTTTTTTTTTACCGAGATACAAGTAAAATTTTCTAGATGAACTATTTTGTACTGATTTCAAATATTCCCCTTTTTTTCTCTCGCATATTCGGGTTTCATAACAATAAAAATGATAATGTAGTTTTTTTCCCCCCTCAAACATCCTAGCTAACAACATCAATTCGCGCAAGCTTTTAAAGGGTCAAACTTTAAAAAACAAAAAACAAAAAGAAAACTTCTGAAAAACTTGATGCGCATGAAAAAAGTACTTTTTTTTTAAATCAGGGTCGTCAGTACCTTAAGGGACACATAAAGCCATCTCTGATTAAAATATGCCGTTGACCAGTGTAATTAATGTAAGATAAAACAGATCAACTTAAAGGTAATTAAAGAACAACAAAAATACCATCAAAATGTCCATTGAAAAACCGATACAGTATTGTTTTTTTGTTTGTTCACGGTAAAATTGTTAGTGTTTAAGATTTAGAGAATGGCGGAAAAAAACATTTGGAAATACTGCACAGTACAGTTCATGATTTTTGTTTCTGACAGCTATGTATATAATTGTAATACATTTTCCATGCGCATGCTTTTATCAACAGTACAGCAATGCATTAATTTAGGCAGTCAGTGCATGTCGGCCGCTTCTGTAAAAAAAAATATTGCCTTTCAATATGCACTCTGTATAAAGTTAAGAAAAATTTGATGTTTTTTCAATTGGAGGAGGAAGGCGTTCAAATAAACACAGGACGTAAAATAAACACGCACTCAACAAAACATAATGCACATGAGAGTGAAGCTTCCCTTTGGGCGTGGAGCAGTGAAACTTCGTTTGTGCAAACGACAGCATGAGTTGGCACGTGCGGCCCGCCCATAGAATAGTGCCATGCCTTTTTTGGACAGAGGCGCTTCCGTAGCGCTGCTGCATGATGGGATACAGGTACGTGCTCCGCTCTTCTCAGACCCACCGGTTTGCAGGATGTCAATGTAAAATGTATGACAAGTTTGTTTGAGGTTTGCTACTGAAGACGTTGCTCAGCCTCCCCTCCCTCCCCACCCCGAATGCCTCCCCCTCTTTCTCCTCACCCTCTTCCCACTCTTATGGTTTTGCCTTTTTGACCTGTTTCAGCCTTAGCACGCAGCTTGACCCCTTGAATCACGCCGATGAATACATTTGTGATTTGACTTCGATGGGACAAGCTGAAACTCACAACAACAGCTTGCCGCAAACGTAGTGTGAACTTTACTAAATTGGACATGTTTATTCCACATACGGGGGCTCAAGTCTGCTAAGGCCTGCACATTCTGATGAAGTGACCTTCCGACTTCCTCCCTGGATGAATATTTTCTCCTCTTGCCATTAACCTGCTGCTTCTCCTCTCCTCTCATCCTGACACGTGACTGTAGCCAAGATGTCCGTCTACAAGCGAATGAAACTGGCATGTTGTTTTGATTGCGGCCGTTCAGAGCGAGACTGCTCTTGCATGTCAGGCAGTGTACATAGTAACATGGACACCCTTCAGAGGGCCTACCCACTTTCCTCTGTGTCTGTTCATGATTGCGCAACCACGTTACGTGCCTGTAAGTGACACCGCCCAACACATGCTGTTACGTGTCGTCTGTGACGTGCGCTTCCATGTGTGTCGTTACCATGCGCTGCCGTAACGTGTCGTACACGTGTGGACACGTGTAGCCGTGACGTCGTCCACGTGCTGTGGTGGTCTCGTTACTTGGTGTAGATGTGGATTTGTGGCATAATTCACATTTTATTTTATTTTTCTTAAATGTTGATCACTGTTTTTCTGACAATTTTTGTAGTTAGCTAGCTAGCTAGCTAGTGGTGACTATCTGTCTGTCTGTCTGTCCCTGCCCATCTAACATTCTAGCTATCACTCTATCTAATAATCTATCTAAGGGTTAAATCGATTTTTGTTTGTGCGTGTAGCTTCGTCTCAGTTGTCAAGTTCATGCTATTTTTAAGCCTGTAACATACTACTAGTTTTTTATCTATCTATCTATCTATCTATCTATCTATCTATCTATCTATCTATCTATCTATCTATCTATCTATCTATCTATCTATGTTTCTTGCTATCTATGTTTCTTGCTAGCTAGCACTCTTTCTCTACATAGATATGTATTTTTTTCTTTTGTTTTTTGTTTTTCTCCCTCATTTATCTATCATAATCATGTTGTTTCACTCAGTGTATAGTTTGTTTTGGTGGGTGCGTTGTGTTGTGGCTCTGTGGTGCTGTTGTATTGTACAGTACTGTAGGTGGCCAGCTAGCTATCGCATGCTGCATTTCGTCATGCAGTTTTGTGATAATAATCACTACTGGAAATTGACTGTTGTGTTTTGATGATTTTAAGGTAAGATGTGTGCCCTTAAAGAGTAGATACTGTATATTGTTTTGTTGAACAGATTTACTGCAATGTAATGATTTGCTGTTCTTATCATTATGCACTATACATTTTGTTTGACAGCCCCTGAGTTCACTTATTTTTTAAGTCTGTGTTTTTGTTACAGTTAGCATCATCTTTCTTTCATGTTTTTGTTGACCTACTTCAAATGAAAGCTTCAGGCCACTGAAATAAGATGATCGGCCCTAAGTTGTGTTGTAATATTGCTATTCTCACAGATCACAGTTGGTTCACACTGTCTATCTCCGTGTTTTAACAATATGATCATCTCAAAGAGAACATAAGCAGAAGGAAACTTAAGTTGAGAGTGACAATGTGATTGCACGAAGGCTCGTGGATGAATTGCCTCCTTGCCGCTTGATCTTGAGTGGGTTGGAACTAGTAAATTGTCTGTCAATTAAACATGGCAGCGGTAGGCCTGGCTATCAAAGCCGGGGCCTCAGACGTGCAGATCTGATTTCCTCCTCAGCATTCTCCCGACGTCGGCCGACTCAGCCTAGATTAATGTCAAACGTGCCATGATGAGTTTAGTTTGGCCCCATACACTTTGGTACTGCGTTGGTATCCCTCGGTACCAATTACTGGCCATTACATGGTTACTGATCTCACTTCTCCCTCGAGCCCCCTGTTGGATTTCAGGAAAGCCTCCCCTTCCTTGGATTTCTCTCCCCCCTCTTCCCCCCTTTCGTCTGAACAAAGTTTTAGCGAAGAAGTTCTTGTCAAGTCAAGGATTACTGGATTTCCTCTCGCCATTTCCTGTTCTTCATTCTGCGACCAGATAAGACATCTTTATATGTGATGACTTCATGACTTGTCATGCATCTGGACTAGATTTTCTTTGGCTGGAATTCTCTTACTGCTAGCACTATATCGGTCATTTTTTTCAGTTGCTGTGGAAACCTGTGATTTTTGCGGGTTGCCTCTTTTTGGATTGAAAGCGTATCTTAACCCATGTTAGCTTGTTATTGCAGTCTCTGGTCTGTTGACCACTGTCCGCCATTTGTCAAAAGACAAAAGGAGATGATATCATAAAAAGTTCTGGATGGGGAACAAGGGGTGCGGTACAATGCTATTTGGCCCGATCCAAGGCAATTCCGTGACCTTCCAGCGGGGCGGACCAACATGCATCTTCCCTCTCTCCGTGCATCTGCATCTCATTGCTCGAGACCTTATCTCTCCTGACACCGAAATTATGTTTTCATTTTCCCAGCCCTGCTGGTCTGTCACCAAACTTGCCCTGACAGCTCCTATCCACCAGGCAGACTTGGAAACAACCCCCTCCACCCAATCCCGCTCTCCCCTCTGTCCGGCGCTTCCTCGCGACGCCCCTGATAGCTAGCCAGTTAGTTCTCCGCATTGGTGGCGCGGGCAAATCGCTACAGACAGATGCCAGGGTCGCTGTGGGTTGCTGTATGAGGATCTGTGTCAGAGGCCAGCCTCGGGCGCTCATTGTGACCTTTTGTGATGGAAGAGACTCTGAGTCGAGAGTGTCAGCAGTGCCCGGTTGAGTTAAAGTGCCCACCATGTTTGTTCAGTGTCTCCTGAGTCAGGGTCACGTGCGATCGCATGAGCGGTTCACAATGACGAAGCATTTGGAACGCATAGTTAGCTGATAATAGATGTGGCCAATTTAGGATGCTAAACACAAGCATCAGAACCATGACAGATCCAGCGTTTGCTTTTTATACGCAAAATTCAACAAAGGCTTTGACATAGCATTCCAGAATTAGACAAATGCAGAACAACAACAGCCCGAGTGTCTTCACCATTTACCCAGAAAGTGGATTCGTGACCCCAATTCCGTGTTTATACAAAGCAGTTTCAGAAAGGTGGCTGTGTAAATGGGCAAGCAGTTTTAGAGGATCCACTTCTTTTCAACCATATTAGGATAGGCATCATAAGCAATAATTTAGTTTGATGGTGCTGAATTTGTTGCTGTTGATTTACTCTCATCTAGTTTGCTGTCTGACGAAGTCTACACTTTTAACTGAATGAAAGAACTCTTGTATATAAACTCCATCTTATTGAAAAAATTGTAATTGTACTTTAGTGTCCCAAAAAAAAAAACACCGTCTTCTCCCATCTAAAAAAATATCGTGGGGGGAATACTTAGCTTGAGCATTACCTCCAGATTGGAATTTCATCAAATGCCCATCTCTAAAAGATATCAGTTTTCAAATACAGACTGCAACCGCTGTTCACCGTCTTGCATTGTCCCACAGATTTCATGAAGCATTTATCACGTTCAAGTGTTTTCTGATTGTTTACATCGGCCGTTTTTTGTTTCAAAAAGTTATATTTAGCTCTTTACATTTCACTGTAGATGAAGCAAAGCACATCCTGACAATGGACGGATCATTTCATTTACTTTTTTTTTGTGCCACATTCCGCAAATCATCCCCACTGTGTTTTTCGCCTTCATTTGTTACAGTCCCCATTGATTCCCATTCGTCTGGTGCATGCATGTACTGTATTTTTTTTTCCACTTAATTTCCATGCCGCACTCTTATGTTGATGTCTCTTATTTCCTAATGTGTGCTACACGGCATCCTTTCTCCCCCCCGTGTGACCTGCCACTTGTCTTTGCATTCTCCTCAGCCAAATATAAGTATAATGGATATGTCAGATCACGTAAGTGTGCTTCTCTGTCCTTCCCCGTTTCTGCCTTATAGGCTCTTAATGTAATACGATTAGCACTGTCGTTTTCCTTCCTGTTCCCTTAACATGTAACCTTGTCGTCTTGTGACTTTAAGTCCGAGTGTTTATTCTAACAGTGTTATCACCAGTGTAACTCTGAAAACACTGTTCTATCAAAAGTAATTGTAAATAAAGGCATTTTTTTCTATATTGACAGTAGATTGTAAATTTAGAATCACAATTTGTGGTGTGATGTACACGAAATTGCTTTGTGTTCAATCATAACTACTTGTAGTTGCATGAATTATTCTTTTTTTTTTTGTATTGTGCTGCATGTAGCAGCAGATGGCGCTACAACACCAGGGAACAGTGGAAGCCAAAAAGAGACTGGCGTTCGATTCAAAGCTGATTGCAATTTAGGTAAATAATTGTTACTTCTGGTTAAGAACAAAAAATATATATATTTATATAGTGTCACATGCCATACACGTTCATGTGTCATTTCATTTGACCTTTTGTTTTTTTATCGAGAATAGCATATTGCTGTTTAAGGTGTTTGTTTACCCTTGAAGTACAGTCTGCTTAAAATCATCTGCGGTAATCATCATATCCGTTTGATTTGTGTATGCATTTTCACTGAACTGTAACAAAAGCATTGGCAAAGGCAAGGTGAGAATATATTTTCTTGGTACACAGACGCAATGACGAGAAACCGCTTGCCGGCGCAGGCAACGCAACAAAGACAAAAAGCCAGCTTTCCCCTCACGTGCTAGACTCAACATTTTCTGTTGTTCTTCATCCATTTGCACGCGGCGCAGGAGCGTCATGTGATTAGCATTTCAGGAAGGGACAGTTGCCGTCTGCCTTGTTCAGAAAGCACAGTGGAGCTGCCAAGGCGGTTGAGCGCGCTCTAATGCTGTACATGTTTGACAAGGGCCAGATGAATCCAGGAGCTATCGGTGGCGCCCCGTAAATCAAGGAGGCAGCTGACTGCTGGGATAAACGTCTGTTTATCGCCCAGGGCCACCCAAGCATGCTCTGTCCTCCAAAAGGACCAACCAGCCACCCTCCCACCCAAGGCAGGAAAAGGCCTCTCCCGGCCGACTTTACAAGCAGAGATATGACTCGTCTCCCTGCCTTGCTTTCCTGTGGAGAGCCTTGACCCCTTTAGTACATGCGATTGTCTGCCTAGTTGGTGACAATTTCTTGTCTTATGAAAAGCAAACAGGATGCCACAGGACACACGGGAAGACAGACGCCGCGCACAATTTTAATCCAAAGTGGTCCCTTCCCTGTGTCGAATGCTTTTAAATGAGTCTTATCATAAATGTGGTGTCTCTGTTGAGATGACAAAACATCTGAAGGGATTTGACTGGTTTAAGCCAAGCTTGCGTTTCCCCTGCGCTTTTGTTCCAGTGAGGCCCTCGTAATTAATTCATGTTTGTCGCAAGTGCAAAGTAAATGTCGTCACTCGCGGAGAGATGAAAAGACGATATGGAACGTGAAATCACAAAGAAATGATTGAGCTTTTATTGTCTGCTTATTTTAGCTTTTAAAAAGTGTAATAAATATCCTGTACGTCAGCTAAGCCGCTTCTCATGCACAACATGCGCCTTGTCAGATATTCAAACGGTCTTTTTTTTTTCTTAGTCAATGACTTTTTTTCTTGAAATGCCAGATAAAACAATGTGATTAAATGAATAGATAATGTCAATGTGTCCACTTATAATTGCTGATCCAAAAGCATTCCGAAAGCGTTTTCTTACACTTTGTATTCTTCATTGTTTGACAGTAACGGATGACTTTAGACCGTCTTTTCAAAACCGATCCGTTAAAACCAGCGGCTGCCCTTCCACTGCAATCACCTCAAACGCTTTCTCACCCAACGCCCTGCAAAGCAACCAGGACGCCTCGGTTAAGCCAGGCGCCATCCACATCCCCCTTGTTAATAACCGTAAAGGAAGTCTGCTTCCCACGGGGCCGGCGCCTGCGGCTCGCCGTTCCAAACTGCGCCTCAGTATCTCGGTGCCAGAAGATGCCAGATCCTTGGCGGAGAGTCGGCTGAACCGGGCCCGCAGTCTGCCGGTGAAATACCGCTACCACCCCAGTAATGCCATGCTGCACAGTCACAGTAGCCACTGTAGGTTGCCCCCCCCTTAGCAGGATGCATCAGTCAGTAGTCTGCCTGTGCTCTTTGCTGCATGATGGTTCACTCCGCCTGGGCTGCTTCTCTTGTCCTCCTCGTTTCTTTGTACGCAATTGCCTGAGCGTGCCGTCTTCGCAGTGAATCAGGCTGAGGGGTTGTGAGTAGCCCGGAGCTTGGAGACTGAGCTTTGGGTGTTGAAATACAATTGCCGTTACATTTTTCTACTTACTAGGGATGGGCAGTTAAAGAACTATTCTTGACTCTTTGGGATTTTTTTTTTTTTTTGCTTTTCTCACAGTAAAATAAATATGACAAAATTGTTTAGACTAAAGAAAACAACTGGATTGGCACAAAGGGAAGGTGGAAAACAAAAGTCTAGTCCGAATATGAACACGGGGGGGAGAGAGAGAGAGAGAGAGAGAGACAGAGAGCGAGAGAGAGAGAGAGACAGAGAGAGAGAGAGAGAGAGAGAGAGAGAGAGAGAGAGAGAGAGAGAGAGTTGGGCTGGAGAAATAATAAAATACTAACTTTGCCTGGGTCGCAGGTTGCCAGTTCAGAATGGTCCAAGACGTACTGTTTCAATCATCGTGTTCACCATCTGTATTTCAACCCGTTTAGGCAGCAAACTAGTTGGGTCTGAATGAACTGCTCGGTGCTTCCAACCAGTGGAAATGTATTGCAACTGCACATTGTTGTTGATCCTGCCCATCCTTAGTATGTCCTCTAACGCTGATATTGTTTTGTGTGATCCTGGCTGAAAGTAACGACACCACTTTGATGGTTAACAATTGAAAAGTTGATGTGGATTTAGCAGCAGCAGACGACACAAAGTAATTAAAAATTGACCACTTTTAGACCATGACGTCTGACACGTTGGGAAATTCCATCTGTTTGGAATCGGCAGGCTTTCTTTGTGTCCTCTGATTTGCGCTAATATCAGGCGGTTATTGATTTCTAACCCAAGGACTAATACAGATGTGCGGCGGTGCAGCAAGAAGAGTATCTTACAGTGTTGCGGAAGCTCTTAAATGCAGACAGTAGTGAAGATCAGACTAGGGCCGGGCCTGACCTCACTCCAGCTGCTCTTCCTTGTCCTTTCAATCTGGAAAACTCTTGCAAAGTGCTTACGACCAAAGTGTCAACCCCCCAAAATTGAATATTTAATCTTTCCCGGATCATTAATTCCCAAGCTAGTCCTGACCTTCGTCTGCTGGAGGGTTATTTGTCCTTACTAGCCACTTCTGACATGTCTAGCCCACTAATTCACGCCCCCACCACCCCCACCCTGTTAGCGTGTCCTTCATAAAGTGTGTGGAGTGTTCTCTTGGCATGGAGGTAGACCAGTAGAAGAGCCATTTTTCTGCGCTAGAACTGGAATAATGGGCCAGACAGGCTCTTTCCCAAGAGTCCCAAAAAAGAAAGCCACCATAAGGATCCATCTTTATAAGCTCTCTTTACTGTATCTCATTGTCATTGCTTTTGCACACGATCCACTGACAATGACAATCTCCACCATTACATGGCAATTAATGGCGTAGGTAGGCGTGGTCATTCTGATGCAGACTGCTTGAGGTCCAAAGAAAATCCTGTGCATAAAGAATGCAGTATTGCAAAAAAACTGAAGGCCCTTTCGTCTCTTCGTCATTTTCAGGTCAATTGGTTTTTCTCCAAGGTTGTCTCCTGCCTTAAAGATTCCCCCATTACTAATAATCTATCTTGGTTTTCTTCGAGTTATTAATTTACCCTTTGTCTTCTGTTCACTTTTTGTTGTGTATGCTACGATTGAGTGTTGACGATTTATTTGTTTATTTTCATGTCAGGTCCAGCTCACTTCCCCATCCGTCTCTATCTCTGTTCTGACACTGTGTGCGTGTGTTTGCAGTCGAAGACGAGCATCCGTCAACGCTCTCGCCCAAAAAAAAGCAGCGCAACGGAGGGATGCGGAACTCGCCCAACTGCTCTCCCAAAATGATGAGGTAAGAGACGCTTGCCTTCGCCTCACCGCCTTCAAACGGAGGAGGAAGACAGATGCAGGGGAGTGGAGGGAGGGATGGAGAGATAGCAGACACTTCAGAGGTGATGCTGCTGACGGTGGGCGTTTGGCAGGGGCAGGGGGGTGGGCAGAGGAGGAAGAAAAATGTGCCTTGATAGGCTGAGGCTGTTTAGGTTGGGACACTGTCAGCTGTTAATGACAGAGCTGAAATCATGTTTCTGTCACAAAAAAACGACAGCAAGGAGTCGTTTGAAATGCACAAAGCCCCTCTTGGCTGCCTTTAAAGTCTCAACTGTCGCCTCCTCCGGTCAGGTCTACATGTAATCCTTAAACAATGCTGACACTAATGACACCAGCGGCCAATCAGAAAGACTTGCACAGTTACTTTGCCCCGAGGCTACCTCTCTATTCTGGGAACCCCTTTGAGTTCTGTTTCTGGTACTTAACGGCCTTATGCGAGCTGTATTGCCACAATCAAATATGAATTCAAATATTACCTTCCTTTTATCCTGTCCTGTGCGATTACATTTCTCTTAATTGATTTTGAAGGATAAAAGGGCTAAGGTATTCATGCTACAAGGCGGGGGTTAGCGGGATGACAGCGCGGAAAAACAGAGAGGCCCGCCATGGCGAAGATTTAACAGGACAGGAACACCCATAGCTACTATGCTGGTTGTGTCTTAATGAGGGTGAGGTGAGAGCTCTGTGGTTCAAGACATTTGACAAGTTGTCAGTATTTATCAAGTAAAAGACTGGACAATCGAATGAGACCAGATACAAAGTCTTCATTTACAGGAACAATGCCCGAATCACTGTCACAGGGGTATGAATTCCCCCTCGACAAAGAAATAAACACAATTACAGCAGAACCTCGGTTTTCAATATGAATCTGTTCCAAAAAGTATGATGCAAACCAAATCCAATGAAATTCAAAGCAACATCACCCATAGGAAATAAGGTAAATCCAATTAATCAGCTGCAGACACACAAAAATATTGTAACCCCTTTTGTTAAATTGCTGTAATTTGTAACTTTCCGTCGAGTTATACAAAAAGGACTCAACAGACGGAATAAGTTCCACAATGAAAGTTTCAATTGCGAGAGTCCGCACATTATGTGAAAACAAGAATTATTGCTCCCGCTTAATTTCCCTTAAATTTTTGTTTGGACAAAATTGCTGTGTAGGTCTTCCTCCCTTTGGCAACATCCCTCGCACTGCACTAGCAAATCTATATGTTTTTCGTTTTGTTTTTTTTAAATATAGCGTGCTTGTGGGCCTCCCCCTCAGTTCTCCATTAAACGAGCACTTAATAATCCGCCACACTTGCCAAAACCATTAGGCAAACACGAGTGGTAGCCTTCAGTCAGAGTATCGTTTGAGATGCCCTTGCTCAGAGGGAGAAGGCTGCTACAAAAACAAGTTGATCCTGGCGGCTTTCCAGCAAAAGTTTGTTTAGTTTGCCAAAATATCAGCACTCAACCCTTTCTTCCTCTTCCTCTTTGGCTTTAAAGATGGTCCCCTTTTGCCATCTAATATATGATACGCCTCTTGGCTTTGATCTCGCAGCGATAATCATTTGCGCAAGTTACTTTCTCAGTTTTGGAAGCGGCTTCAAAGCCGCGTTCAAGTTTTCTCTGCTTTAGGGATGCTTCGGTGTTCTGAAGGCTCTCGGGTACTGCCATGACAGGCCCTCTGTTATAGGTGTAGATGTTTTCTCCGAGTCTTAGCCCACAGCACAACATCAAATTACCCATCGCAGCCCAAGCGCCCCCCCCCCATCCCCCCTTCCCACGGCTGCCCTTGTCAACATATAACAGCATTTATATTAAACAGTTGTGCTTTACAAGGTGGGTTTTTATGCACAATGAAAAGTGATTGTTTGAGGTAGCCGTAGGGATGCTTTATCCTACAAGCAAGGAAAGAGGAGGAGTGGCGAGGGGGGGATGCGGCAAGAGAGCGAGCGTACGTAGCGAGTATGGTTTTTACAGGACTCGCCGCCCAAAGGCCTTTGTAAATAAATAATGATCAACAGATTGGCTGTGGGCTTTTGAAAAGCACGCCTTTGTCAGTTTGCATGATGGGGAGAATTTTCAAAGCGCGAGGCTGCCTTCGCAGTCTGCCAGGGAGGCATTGGGGGAGCGGCAAACCCATCCCCAGTTTGTGACTGCAGAGTGTTGCACTGGAATAAATCAACTGTTTGAAATACTTGCTGAAGAACGGAGGGAGGGGAAGACACTGCGGGGGGGGGGGCATACTATTAAGGAAATACTTGTCCTATATAAATTCTTTTCTCCTGAAATAATATATTGTCCAGCGAGGCAAACACAATCAAAATCGATTCATTACCAAAAGATTTATTTCCGAGGGCAAAAACTATTTGAACTAAAATGATAGCATGCACCTCCAAAACTACATGCCGTAATCTTAATTTGGGTCATAGGGTTTGATCATACGACAGGTGAATCAGATTTACAACTCAGTCCGGATCCTGAAACTTGTATGTCTCTACTGTCATTTGAAAGTGAATAGATTGGATTGTCTAGATCCGCAGCAAACCGTCAAATGGTCACCTAAACTAAAATAATCTGGATCCAAATCTATTTTTAAAATTGACCAGACATCAACTTCAAAATATATCTAAATCCATAAAATCCTATTTTGTGCAGCCATTTGAAAAAAATGAAATTGAGTAACTTCCACATACATTTTTTTTTTGTGTGTATGTAGAAGTCTGTTATTGTGTCCAGAATCAATCTGGGTATAATCTGGGATTAAAAAAAGAAAGAAAGAAAAAAAAAAACAACCTAAAAACCGAACATGAAACTGTAAACACTTTTTTAATCTGAATACAAAACATACAATTTAAGCAATTTACAATACTAAAAAAACAACAACATAAACATTCAACATATACCACATTAATATCAAACACTTTCCATCATTCCTTTTCAAACCGAAAAAGTCTACCTTAAAACTTTCATGAGTTTCAAAAAACAAAACAAATCATAAGAACCCTTTATTTCATTTTGCCTCAATTTTATAAACGACCCCCACCCTCCGCACACATTGGAAACAAAATACAAAAGAGGGGGTTTGTTAAGACAAATTTACAGTCAAAATATATGGATGAGTCTCTCATATTTTTCGCCATAAATTCATTTGCGTTGACCTGGCCGTCTCACTGTTATTCGTTTCCCAGCAGCCTCTCCCCATGTGTCACCTCGCTAACGAGGTGCGCATTGTCACCGCCGCATTAACGCCGTCTTCGCAAACCTTTGTGACGGGGCCGTGAGTGACGCCGCACATCCGAATCGCAAAAAAACAGTGTCATCTGGAACCGATATCCCCTGGGCGTGGCACCCCTGTCTGCTCTGCCTGAGCCCGGGGGAAGGTTCAAGCTGAGGCAGGGAGAAGGCAGAGGGGAGGATGAGGAGGTGTGTGGCGTCGGTGACAGGCTGCCAGTCACAGCGCTGACAGCTGGGTGAAAGATAGCTGTCTTGACACACAGGAAGAGAGCGAGCGAAGAGAAGGGGAGGCGGAGGCATGCGCCAGTCAGCCCCAGTGAGGAGGCGAGCGATGCCGAGCAGATTGAAGTGACGGTGGCGCCCGCGTCGGAGGTTGATTGGCGCAATACGAGGCTCCGAATGAAAGATTCGGGCTGAGTGTAAAAACTGTCAGTGTTATTATCACCTGCACTAACTGATAGAGGGAAGCAGAGAGGCGGGTGGCTAATTGACAGGCTTGTTTTTTTTTTTTTCTTTCTCTGCCAATTTTCGGCAAGGCAAATGTAGATTGAAAGAAAGTATCGCCATCAAAGCCTTGTTTGTGAATGACAGTGCCGAGTGATGATTTGAGAGAGAGATGTATGTCAAATTCCCGAGCTGTTTCCCCCTATATCTTTCAAATTTATAACTTCACGTCTCCATTCAGTTCAATATATATAGATGACTCTGACTTCAGCCTGAAATACACATGATCAAATATTGATCGTATTTCGGAGATTTCATCTCTAACTCTGAGCCGATGCACACATGCATGGCAACTTAATTTTATATACACACCACTAGTAGTGAAACCGTCATCTTATTTGAGTAGCAAGGCACAATTAAAAAAAAAGAAAAACACAGTTAAAGATGTGAACTTTAGTTGCATGCTGTAAATGGGTAAAAGTTGTGCCATTTGGTGTAGACTCAGAAAGAACAAAAAATGACTACCCAGTTGTACAAATTGAAATCTGAAGGTAGAGGATTACTTTGGTATTATTAGTATTAGTTGTTAACATCCAATGTACACCCGCTATTCGAGATTGGGCCCGAGCCTTGCTGCAAATAGCGAGAATCTGGAACTAACTGATGCCCAGCCCCCAAAAGGGTTTAGAATTTCTGATAGATGCTACAAGATGGTGGCAAAGCAGTACGTGAAGCTCTTCAAATAAACTTCAAACTTCAACATTGTTCCTTGGTGCGAAAAGACTGCAAAATGGTGCCAAAGGTATTTCTTTTATATTTGATGAAAATTTGGCCCAAGTACTAATTACATTAATTTTCCAGCAAAAACCAGTAGAGGTTCTACAAGGATCCTAGGAAACACTGTTTGCAATCTTTTTTTTTTTTAATTGCTTGTTTTTTGTCGTTTTACATTTTTAGGCAAATTTGAGGACCTTGGATGACAATGCAGACCATTTTTAGATTTGAATATCCTCTGACAAATCCGACTTATAGAATTTCTGCACAAGGGATAATTATTAATTTAAGACAGCCAAAATGGCTAAATGACACAAAATGTTCCTTGACAGGCTTCCAAGAGTTAAACGCATACTCAAATTTTAATTCAAAATTTTAAACCAAAACTTAAATAACCCTGAATTCAAAAAAAGTACCGTAAATTAAAAAAAACAAAAAAAAAACATTAAAATCCCAAAGCACAGAACTGTGCTGTGTGTTTCTGCTCTATATCCCGAGTTAGTGTTGTGGATCAAAATGTCTGTATTGCCTTTGTAGCAACTGTGAGAAGACGTCTTGTAGAATAAGCGCAAGAGCAGGAGCGGCGTTAAAGCCGGACTGACAGGAACCCTTTCATGGTCAGTGTTACACTGGATAAAACTCAACGCCCCACCGCTGTGGATTAGCCCGCTTGCTTGTGACACGCTGCTGAAACATTTATGGCCGTCAGTTGGGGAGGCAGAATGTGATTGGGCAAACGCTTGAAATATTTAAAGTGGGAGCCTGTTGGCACCTTTTACTGTTTGCACGGCGTAGCGTCAGGAGCTGGAAAAAGAGGCTAAAAGCTGGTAATTGGCGCTGTGTTGTGTGGCGTGTCAGTCTGTAACGTTCAAGTCTTGCCGCTCTTCTCGCTGCCGCTGCGAGCGAGCGCCTGCCTGCGCCTTTGAGCTTCCTGATGACTTGACATCAAGGACCAGAAGTAGAAATTGCAATTCCCTCAGAAATTGCGTGTCTGCGCTGAGAAAACGCTGTCGCTGAGGCAGAATGGCGGCAAAAGAAGAACCTAACGCTGATTAATAGATCACAGCGTATCATAGCGATTCCCCAAATGCCTCGCAAGTATGCACCCAAGGGGTTTTAAACAGCATAGGGAATTAGATGGAAGTCCAGCCGACTGAATGCTTATGCAATGTGAATGACGTAAGATTGTAACATTTTGTGTGCTCTATTTTTCAACCGATTTGGTTTTTGCATGTTTTTTTTTTTTTGGTCCAAAATTTGTCAAAATTTCTATCCATCTACTTGGTTTTAATAAAAAAAGCTTTTATTAACAACTCTATAACCCTCCCGGTCTGCTCACGAACACGCAGACAACATCGGCATAACACATCCTGTCAAAAGTCACACCTTCAAATTAAAAGCAGCCAGGATAATAACAAGGTTTCACTACACTTTCTTTGCCGACATGTTTGTTTATTTACCAGTTTCTCCCGTATCATCCACCACACTCCATGCATCCAACATCTTAAATAAGTGTGTGTTAAATGTTCATTTAATCTGTCAATATTTTGGGGTGTGTAGATTCCAGACTCTAGAATGGATTGATTGAATGTGTATTCATTCCTATGGGAAGTATTGCTTTGTTTTGTTTTTTTTTTGTGTGAGTGATTCAGTTTTACTCAGACTTTGTGGAATGGATTAATCACAAAAAAATACAACAAAAAAAACAAGATTCCACTTACTCAAAGTTCCAAAAATAAACACATCTAAATTAGCTTCAACTCTTGCTATGCCTTAGCTGCAGCTTTATTTTCCACAATCTCCACTTTACTGCAATGGCCCACACGGCAAATCCAGAGGTACAGGAGGCCCTCATTTTCCTTCACTATTTGAATAAACATTTTCAATGCCTAAAAGCTTCGGTGTAAATGTTTCGGTCTCCACGCAATGATGCTCATCTTCAGAATGGTCTTGCATGAAGCTATTGTTGTTGTTTTGCAGTCGACACGATCCTCTTCTCATACCTGGTAATGAACAAATCGAAAACATGGACATGAATGTGAAGAGGTATGACTCCACCGGAATGTTTCACTGGTGCCCGTCAAAAGACATCGAAAAAGTCATTCTGGTGAGTGAAGCGCAGTTTTACCACTACATGCTGTTTAAAATTAAAAAATAAAATAAATTGCATCATATACAAAATATTAGAGAAACTAAAAGTAAGTATGCTCCGGAATTTCCCCCCCACACTTGTGACATCATCCAATCACATACTAATATGTCCTGACATTTCTTTCTCTGCCTCTCTGCTTCAAGGTGAGTTTATGGTTTTCTTTCTATATATCCGCATCTAGGTTTAAGTGAACAGCGTTGCAGTCGTCCCGCGCATGCGTTTGCTGCGACGTCTTTGCAACTGGGCAGTTTGCAAGCGTTTAGGTGGACCCGTAAATCATTTGTGCCGTCACAAAGACCACGACACAACATTCATTCCGTTGCGACAAGCTGCATTTTTGCCACACATTCACCGTGAGATGGTATTTATTGTCAGGGGCCTGCCTTTAGAGTGATTGTTGCCCAATGAAAAAAAATGAATTACAATTCTATTTGACGAAACATGAGCCAAACAGTTCATGATTATTGAAGAAGACACCAAATGATCATATTTTCTCACCTACAGTGAAATAGAGGCCATCCCCGGCGCGTCATTCACCCAAATAAATGTTGGGGGCTGCTGACTGCTTTTACCTAAATTGTCGTTCTTCCCACTTCGTTTTTATGACTTGCATGTCTACATTTTTCAGGCAGGTGCATCTATCATATGTGACGGTGCGGAAACATAAGTAGTCAACAGTTAATTCCGCCGCCAAGTGCGATGCTTTATTGATAGGAACCAAGACAAAATGGGGACATAGCACGAGTATGGGAGTGGGATTCTCCGTCAGACGCAAGCCTGTTTTGCTTCACACTTACACTGTAAAGAATCGCCTCCTCTCGAATCGACTCCTGACTTGAAATGCCTCACACTTTCTGCAGTTAAATAAATGCTACGGGAATAGTAGCAGTACCTTTGCTATCTCAAACTTTTTTCTTTTTTATCCTTCAAAATCCTTGATTTTACTGTTGTTAATAATTTAATAAAGCAGGAGACTTTTTTTTTTTTAATCACGTGCCAGCATGACTTATTTTCCCCACAACTCGTGTGGCCTGTGTCACATTCACCCACCTTGCCTAAAGTCTTACAAACTGCGTTCATCAGCAACTGACTCTGAGTCAGCTGCTCTTGGTCATCAAGCAGAATATGAGATTTTATGGATTAGTGATAATCAAACTCTTACGTTGATGATTAACTTCTACTTTTCCCATTCACAGCTCATGTAACAGGTAGCTCAACCCCTCATTATTTTTTTTTTTTCTGTGCTCTTTCCCCATCCCTCTTGTGTCTGCAGACTCGGAGTGAAGCCTCCATGACGGTACTGAGCGGCCATGTGGTGGTCTGTATATTTGGGGATGTCACGTCCGCTTTAGTGGGGCTGCGAAACTTGGTGATGCCTTTAAGAGCCAGCAACTTCCATTATCATGAACTCAAGCCCATCGTTTTTGTGGGCTCACTGGACTATCTGCGGCGAGAGTGGGAGACGCTACACAACTTCCCCAAGGTCTCCATATTGCCCGTAAGTGTACCCCGCTGTTGCAGATGGAGCAGTAGCTTCTTTTTTATGCTACGTTCACTGCGATTTAACTGAAGGATTGTTCTGTGACAAGATCCAGAAGAGCTAGATAGGTCTGGTGTGACGGATGATGCAAGCCAGTCTTCAGTGCAGTCCTTTTAGTCCAGTCCTCCAAAACGCAGCCACATCAATGAAATGTTTTTTCACTTCAAAATGGTGCTAGCGAGTTCACCGCAGCGAAACGCCACTGTTCACTTCTTCAATTTGTTTCTCTCTCTCTCTCTTGCTCTCTCTCTCTCCCTCCCTCTGTGTTGCTGCCTCACCCTAAAGGGTACACCATTAAGTCGGGCAGATTTAAGGGCTGTCAACATCAACCTCTGCGACATGTGCGTAATACTGTCAGCCAATCAGAACAATATCGAGGATGCCTCGCTGCAGGATAAAGAATGCATCTTGGCGTCACTCAACATCAAGTCTATGCAGTTTGATGACAGCATTGGGGTCTTGCAGGCTAATTCCCAAGGTAAGGAGCGTCCTCTCAGACTCTGTCTGTGCTGGTGGCCCAAGGGGACAGATTGTGGAAGGAAGCGAAGTCAAATATTTTTTAAAATGAGGACTTGGGGTGGATGGAAAATAGCAATCACCATGACTGTATTTTCATGCACTTTAAGAATCAAAATTAGGAGGAAGATCAATTGTACTTAAAACGCAACCCTGGGGAACACCTTGACCACCTGAGATTTTGGACATTCACGCTAGCTCAGTCAAGTACACCAACCTACAGGACGATGTAAGATTGTCACACTGAAATGGTGCACAATGCTCCGGAGTGAATTTGTGAGTCGAATCTATAAATTGGCTGTACTAAAGATGCTTTGGAAGAGTGTTTACGCTGCATCATTTTCTAATAATTCCAGTCTTGTTCGCTGGTAATTACAAGCTGCTCAACCTCCCCGCTAATTTAATGATATCAACATGCTGGTGTCATTTTTGATGTTGTTGTTTCCCCATGTCTGGCGCTTCGTCTGGAACAGATTGTAGATGTTCGCGATCCGGGCCTCCCATCAGGCCTCATCAACATTAAGCGGCGAGTACAAATCACCGCGCGGCGCGACTCAGCTGCCGCCCATTAGTTACGACCAAACAGTGACGACTTCCTGAATGGATGGCGCCGCTTCAAGCCTGGTCAATGCCATCCCTGCGCATAATCCACACTTTATGATTAGCTTCAAAGACGACACGGCTCAAGCTCGAGACTATTTAGTGCTACGGTTGTTAGTACAAATCAAAACGGAAGGGTTTTAGTGCCGAGCACTAGCGCATGTTTTAGGAGAATGCCAATGCAGTTATTCCTGCAGCCTTGAGTGACTGATGCCCTGTCGATGGCCGTGCGGCTGAGCAACAATAAGAGGAAGTAAATCAGCGTGGGGACCGCTCTGGGGAGCACTCTTCACAGGAAGCCACCCCAGTATGGAAAACCCAGTTGCCCGTGTCTTCTCCCAGGGTCGATGGATGGGGCCCATTGTCATCAATAATTGGGTCTTATATCAAACACTCATTTCGGTGAAAAATACTTCACTTTAGAGAACACTACCGCAGTGCACTCATGCATACATCAGGAAATACACACATACCCAGACGCTTGTGTTGTATCACAGTAACGCTTTGGGGGGTTCCTTCCTCCCAGCGACGCTCCCATTCACGCGCCGTCTGCGGAATTGAAAACAAGAAGGCACAAATGAATAAGTAAACAAGCGCTTTCCTGGGGGAGAGCTTCTCACGCCGACTGTAGCTTGTAGTCAACCGCAGAGCATCGCCGTGCCCGGGGGGCTACAGGGATAAGGGGTGGGGGCTACGTAACCCAGATCTCACTTGACTGTTGCAACATGCCGAACACTTGAAGGCAGCGCCAGCCTCGAGGAGATAGTTGTGTGTATTAAAAACGCAATCGCTCCACGGACAGGTAGGCAGGTGGATACTGTGAAGCTGGAATTTTTGTGGGTCTAGCGATTTTTCACTCAATGGGGGAGTACGATGTTGCCTTTCAAGTTAGCTTTCTTGTTGCTGGTCTATTTCGCATAGACAGTTAAACAAAATTAGTTGAATGCCATTTCAGGAATCTGAACGTTTCACATCAGAGTCTCAACTCTCATGACTTTGTGTTGACAGCAGTTTTTAGACACACCAAACAATGGCACTGATTATGCTCGGCAAACGTCTTACAATACAAATTCATTTTTTGGGAGATAATGATGCGTCATTCTGCCAATTTTTGCTTTTGCTTTGACTTGCCAGGGCAAACTTGAGATGTGAGTGCTGTACGGTGGCAGTGAACTCAACTCTTTTCCCAGTAAGCAGCAGTTTGGCCATTAGTGAAGAATTCTTCAAAAACTACGGTTCAAGTTCTTTATTAATGCCTTTCCCAGTTGATATGCACTGTCAAACCAACCGTAAAAGCAGAAGAGCCGTCAGTTTATCAACCACAAACTGTCTATAAAAAAACTTTGGTGTGCTAGCTTAATGCTAACACAAACGGGAAAACCAAAAGGTGATTTTAGAATCACATGATTTGAGTTACTGGCGTGGTCATGGAACAAATCTAATTCTTATTTCAAGACACGACTGTAATAAAAACCTTCGCTGGGATTCTGTTTGAAAGGCAATGGGTGGCTTGTTGCCTTCATGACACTTGAGTGTCAATGCATCATGTTAAACAGACACTGCACAACATAGAAGGAATCTCTGTTGTTCCAGCTCACCGTCTCGAATCCTAGAAGAGGTTTGTAACTGCTTTTAAAAGCAGCAGCAGTATCAGGCTTCATGTTGTCTCCCCCCCTCCCCCCGCTGACAATGACTTGTTGCGGTAGTCAGCAGGGCGCCAGCTGCATAGTCTTCAAAACGAAATTTAAAAAAGTTCACTCCAGAATAGGGATAACATCATCCTTTTGTCCTTAATGGCCAAAAGTCAAAATGATGCCTTGGATTGTCAATTGAAGCGCAAGAATTGGAATAACAAGATTACGCCATGCTGCAGTGACGACGATGTGCGTCTTTTTCTCTTTTGCAATGTAAGCGTCTCATTGAGTGTCTTGACAGGGAAGACACACACAGTGATAAAATGGTGACCTGAATGTATTGTATACTTCGTGGCTTGGTAGCATTTTGCTGTAGTCAGCACTGACTGATGGATGTCAAAACACAGCTGATGCATTATACATCTTACATTACCAATTTAAGGTGTTTACTTGTCACTTTGAGGGACTGTAAAAATGTGAAGTCATGTGGATTCGCGTCGCTGTCACTTGCCGTCGCGATCCACGCCATTTTCCATAAAAGGTTTTCCGGTATCCACTCCGCCAACTTTTATTGTAACAAAATGAGGCGCATGTAAAATTGATGACGGGCTGCTGATGGAGGGCCACGAATGCTAAATATGTCCTAACTGACCTCTAAAAGCACTGTGGCCATACAGCTGAGCTTTTTTAGGTTGTTGTCAGCTTCTGGCACTTCCTCCGTGTCATCGTCGCTACATTTGAAAGATGCCAAACAACCTCATGCGGACTTAGCTGACATGCACTATGTGCAATGCTGTCAATACTCCCATCTATGTTTTATGATGTTTGCTCTACAGTGGAATCTCCAAAGTCGATGTGATGTTGGATGGCAAGTCATCCTAATTTTATCCCCCCCCCCCCCCCCCCCCCCCCTCACTATTGGGAGCGAGGTGATCCCACTTGGACATATGACTGAGGGTGAAAGGTGGACTCCATTTGTTCACGATACATGCACAGCCGACTACATCATCTGCAAGGGGAGATCTTGTAGTTTCTCTGGCAATGTCATGCACAGACCCCAGCAAGTCCTCAAAGTTAAGTACGGCGTACTCGTAGTGTGACTCCAACCACTTTGATTTTGATGCAAATGAGGATTGGCCAGGAAAAGACTACTTTCATCCCACAAAGGCATAAACACTCCCTGACACCCAAGTCGACCTGTGCACAGTCAAGCAAAACACCAAATGAAAGAAAAATCCACCCACACATCTAGTTAAACTGCTATTTACTTTCGACTTGCACTTGTCATGAAAATAGGCAATTCATGAACAGTATCTAGGTGCATTACAATTCATTAGCTGAAACCATAATGAGCTTGCTTATTTTTCCTCATGAAAAATGAATTTCTTTCTTATTGGATGTTTTTTCCAAAATCAAGGTAGAACTTTAATGCCTCTCCCCGATGAAATGTACTGTCAAACTAATCGTCAAACCAGGAGAGTTTTTTAGCCTATTTATCAACCACATACTGTCTATAAAACACCTTTGACGTGCTAGCTCAATGCTAACAGAAATGGCAAACGCGCGCGCACACACCCACACACCCACACACACACACACACACACACACACACACACACACACACACACACAAACTGTAAAACGTACATACGTTAAAAAAATATATAGCTGTAAAAATCTAAATATTCAACCAAACAATATCTAATTTCATCTGACGAAATTCCGCTAGCTTAACACTAACGGCTATTATGAAGCGCCATGGATGGTCAAACAGAAATTAGCACAGATATGGTGATCATCAAAACTTAACTAGGTTGTCTCCAAGTTTTTGAGGTGTAATTATCCACAAAAATCTCTTTAAACTCCAAATTTCGTCACCTTTTGAGTTTACTCCTCGCTGACCTTTTCCAATCATGTTTTGGCATGATTAGGTTTCACGCCTCCTGGAATGGACAGGTCATCTCCAGACAGCAGTCCAGTACATGGCTTCGTGCGTCAGGCTTCCGTCACTACGGGATCCAACATCCCCATCATCACGGAATTAGGTAAACCTCACACCCCCAGTGCGAATGCCAACAAATCATTATCGCTGTCCAACAAAAAGCATGTAAGTCCAATTTTTGTGCGTTATTTTCTTTTTATTTGAAACACGGCAACCAATATTTCTGTTGTGTTTTGGATAAAAATGAAACCATGAACATTTGGAGTTACAGTACGTGTTTTTCATTGGACAGCGACATATGTAAAAGTGATTGGCAAACACTTTGGATGTCATTTTGCTCGTCGACTGCTCGATAGTTAAATGCAAAAATGTATAAATTGTCATGAGTGTCCTCAAACTAAACAGGTGACTTTTTCAATGTAAATTCAGTTGTTTTAATACCTTGGCTTATCCGTATTGGCATAAGGTGAAATGTGTTTTATTATCTTACCTCGTTATAACTTCCATTTCCTGTTATATTGTCATCATCGCATTTTTCTTCATTTTCCCTTCTATGGTGGCAAACATAAGATATTGTTCTGCTACCAAAAGTTCCAACTCACGATCAAATGGAATTTGGGTTCACTTCTGTGTTGTGGTTTGCTTTGCCTATCACCAATGTGTGTACATGTCAATTGTTAACTCTTGCAGTGCTAATTTAACTGTACGGACTAACTCTACCGTGAGTGATTCAGACACATTTTTTTTTTCCAAGGAGTGCTACCACATCCTCTGCAATTTGTCCACTAATGCACAAGAGCAACTCAGCCTGACGGGAGGGAAGTAAAGGGGGGTGTAAGAAAGAGAACGAAAAGGGGGTGAAAACTGCCTCGGTTGCAAAATGGGCCCATTTATTAATAACAATGGCAGTGGCTGTATTCCCACTGGTGCTGGGGACTCATGAAACTTTCAGATCTCCGAGGGGTCTTGGGAAGCACCAGAGACTGCCTGCTATGTCTCCCCTGACCCAATTAGGGAGCAATGGTGCATGAGAGAGAGCAAGCTAAGAGAAGGCCAGCAAGGAAAAAGGAGCTGTACCTAATGTTACTTGTAACCGGGCCGGCCATTACCTGCAGAGAGGTTCTCCCATTTGAGCGCGCACGTGATGGCCAGAGCGCCGTTCTGTCTGTGTCAGCATCGCCCACTCTCCTGCACCTCCCGTACGCCAGACGCTTTCATATGGTGAAAGGTAGCATCGCCCCTCAGGTAATGAAGAAGGTAAAGCTTCAGGAAAATACACTTTAGTAGGTACACTTGCACTATCGAATAAGCTCAGGTAATGACTGCTAGAAGTACCGTGCTCGAACAAATCTAATCGCAGTTCAGTTCATCTGGGCTCAAAATTCAAGTAACGAGTGTTAAAATCGACGCCGAACTTTGACTTCAAAAACCTGACACAGTGACGAATGCGCAGAGCAATATTAGCATGCGTGGGAGGCAAGTTACTTCACATTAGGTCTTAATGTCGCTCAATTTCTGGCAGAACGAATTCATGTTTTATGGGTGTCATCCGTTTTGGGTTTTTTTTTTTTGTCCTTCGGCTGGTAGACATCAACAGCAGTTGACTGGTGACCAGGCCATTTATTTAATTTTCACATAATGATTTAGCATGATGTCTGCTATCCAGAAGCTGAGCCGCAGTATTTTTGTTTCTGCACTAGGCATGTGGCTAAAGCACGAGGCAGGTGTTCTTCTTGTCCAGGACCTAAAACGTTAAGTGCGGGAACGCTACTGAGAGTTCAGTCAGGTTTGACACCATCGCCAGGTGTGCAGCGGACGTTAGATTGCGCAAGTGTACTTTAGATTCTTGCCCATAAACTAACTTGTGAACATGTCTCCACCATGTGCAGACAAAGTCGGGCCTTGTGTAGCCCTTTCACTGCCTTGAATCAGTGTTCGCCCCTCAACAGTTCTTAAATCCAAGCTGCTTTATATTCGAACGCAGGCCGGCCATTAGCGAGACGACTGCTGGTGTCGGAGACAGCAAGATGCCTTTAATGTCGTCTTGTGAAAAGTGCTTCAATAACGACGCCATCTCTCCCCTCTCTGCACTGCCTCGTCACCATTAGATAAGCCGGGCAAACCGCTGCCATCGCTTTCACTCAGTCAGGAAAAAAAAAGTGGGACCAACATACAAATGATAACAGAGCTGGGTAAGATGAGCCTTTGTCCTCCGCTACCCGTCTGCCCGTCCCTCCGTCCGTCCGTCCCCTCGCTCCGCCGCCCCGCTCATCATCAGCTTGTCTTGATTTATCTGGCTGCAGTCAAGGCCCACGCTGCTCCCATGGCTTCACTTTGAACACATTCTTCTTCTTCCTTCTTGTTGAAATTGACTGTCTTGTTTGGCGGCTTTCTTTTTAATGATTTTTTTTTTTTTTTTTTTTTTTTTTTGCTTTTGTTTTTTTTTTTTTTTTTATCCCGCCCTCCAGTTGCGTTTGCAGAGTAGTATCGCTCAGGCCTTTGATCATGTTCACTCTGTCCTTGTGGCTGTTTTCATAGCAACACCTCCCATCCCTCATCCTCCACAGACACACACACACACACACACACGCGCACGTCCAACCCCCCCACCAGTTCACGTCTTTGGCCCAGGCCTGTTTGCATCAGCCTCTTGTCTCTTTGACTGACATCCCCAGCACTCAGGGAGCCTGCAAAGAAATCAGATTTCAAACTAAAAACCAAACTCAAGCTCAAACCGTCTTCTTTAGCTGTTGTGTGATGCTTGTTTTTAGACTCTCCACGCATTGCAGGTATTGAACCACTGTACTGGGGAGAAAACCGATGACTTGTTTGCTTCAATTATTGTTATTATTGTTGTCTGAAGTGTGATGACAACGTTCATTTTCAGGGTTCAGGTAAATATATGAAGGGGTGATGATGTGACGGAACATCTATCGGCTCAAGGAAACTAGCATGACATTCACTGTGCATGGATTTTGGATGTTATAAAGGCCATTGTTGAAGTCTCATTTTTAAAAACTGTAATTAGGAATTATTGGCAGTTGTATTGTTTTTCATTTTATCCTTGCACTAAAATTGTGTTTTTGCTCTAAATCACGTGTTAGCACAATATTCTGCACAGTGGACTTCTACAATGGTTACGACGCCAGGCAAATAATGTTACTTATTGATTTTATTTTCTTAATTAATTTATGGCTTGTGTGACATGCACCCTGCATGAGATATTGTGTGGAATTAAGAGTTTAAATGTTTTACCACTTATACGTTGAGTGATAAAGACAGTGAAATTACAGTATCCGTGGATGATACTGTATATGTTGATATATTTATATTTGATATCAATTGGAAAATCGCACATGATCATGCCTTTACAGGGTATTTTATTATAACTTCTACATTATTGCTTTATTTGTTGAATGGGTGGAAGATAGCACATGGTTCGGCTTACGGTGAAACATGTGTTGTCCATTTGGATTTTCTGCTCAATAAAAGGCTGAAAAAGGTCACAGAAAAAAACAAAACAAAACAAAACTGCATGTCAATGCTAACTGCTGCTTTTGCGTCCTCCCAGTGAACGACTCAAACGTTCAGTTCCTGGACCAAGACGACGATGACGACCCAGACACGGAGCTGTACCTCACACAGCCTTTTGCCTGTGGCACCGCCTTCGCCGTCAGCGTTCTCGACTCCCTGATGAGCGCCGTGAGTCCAGCCTCCGCCGCGCACACTCGTCCTGTTTAATTAAATGCCCCCCACAAAAATGCATTAGTGCCGACCGCATCCCGCCTACATTGTTGCTTTTTATTTATTTATTTTTGTGTTTATCGTGATATTGTTTTCCTCAGTAGATTAAGAACTGTAATGCCCTCACATTTGGCTAAGTCGAGCCTCAGCCATCAGTGGACTTTTCCGCCATTTTGGAAATGCTCGGTGGACAGTAAGACATCAACAAAATCAGCACACTCATGCACACATTTGGCCGCAGCTCATTTGCCGACATTCCTAAGTAGACGTGTGACCCCCCCCAAAGTAGACCCCCAAAAAATGGGAGGAAAAAAAAAAACACTTTAACAAGGCCCAGTCTCTAAAAGGCACATACAGTATGTTACACACAGACACTTCAATGCCTGTAGTGCTTTCTGTTTTTGTGCTCAAATACCTTTACAGTGTGTTAAAAAAAAAGAAGTGTGGTGTGTTCATGTGGACTTTCTACCACTATCGCAGATTTGCACCGATTGTGGGTGGGTATGGGAAGTACCCCTGTAATGAACTGGGGCTCACAGTAGATGACCTGAAGCCGAAAACCCTGCAGTAACTGACTGAAACTTTTTGGGGTGTTGCTCATGTTTGTGTGATAAGCAAAGAAATTCATAAGGAGACTATTTTCTGTTTGGAAAGGTGAGAACACGTTCCTGTGCTTTTTGAACTCCAGGTTTCAGTGCTTGCACCAAAAAGCAGGAGCGGGTAAATGAAATGGTACTGGTACATTGATCCGACACGTCTGCCAGCTTTACTGACATCAAAGCCAGATAGCTGGCACGGCTCCACATTTTGAAGTAGTCTGAATTCAACTTAGTCTTTTAATGAAGTAAGGATGGAATGTTAGCGTAATGACGCTGACACCAGCTCCACTTTAACGGGCCTGGCGAACGCTCTTTCATCTCTTGACAATGCCACCACTGCATCAAATATCAGGGGGAAAGAAAAAGGAAGAGGCAAGAGGGGAGAAAATATAACCTTCAACACCTCGTTTTTTGTTTTTTTTTTCTCAGTCATGGCCAAGTGTATTTGTCCGCTCGGTGCCGTGATGGCTTCATTCCAGCAGCTCGCTTAGTGAGCGAGGGGTTAGAGAAGCTGTGCGGAGGCGAGCCGAGGGAGTCGAGTGGGCATCAGCTGTAGCGTGGCGGCGGTCAGAGGTGAAGGCGGCTAATGGACAGTGCTCATCCATCATGAGGCTCCGCAGGCCTGTCAGGGGCCCGCCGAGAGGAGCTGCCACTCTCGGCTTCGCCTGCCGACTGACACCAACTGTCTTTGCACGCTGCCAAAAGCAGCACGTGATCGGCTTGACGGACGGGAGACGCTGACGCCCACAGAGTGCAGTCAAGTCCCATGTTTGTGAAGGGAAAGTGCTGTTGGACTCAAGCACAGCAATCCCTACACCACAATACATCCTGGTGGTGTTTTTTTTTTTTTTTTTTTTTTTTTTTTACCTCACAGACTTTGCATCGGTCTGTCGTGGTGAAGAAGGAGCTGAGCCAAAAGGCGAAGCTCTCAATTTACCAGTCGATCTACGTTCGAAAACCCTCACCTATGGTCACGAGCGATGGGTCGTGACCAAAAGAACGAGATCCCGGATCCAAGCGGCCAAAATGAGTTTTCTCCACAGGGTGTCCGGGCTCTCCCTTAGAGATAAGGTGAGAAGCTCGGTCATCCGGAGGGGCTCAGAGTCGAGCCCCTTCTCCTCCACGTTGAGAAGAGCCAGATGAGGTGGCTCGGGCATCTGATTAGGATGCCTCCCTGGTGAGGTGTTCCGGGCATGTCCCACCGGCAGGAGGCCCCAGGACACACTGAAGAGACTATGTCACCCAGCTGGCCAGGGAATGCCTCGGCATTCCCCGGGAAGAGCTGGAAGAAGTGGCTGGGGAGAGGGAAGTCTGGGCTTCCCCGCTAAAGCCGCTGCCCCCGCGAACTGACCCCGGATAAGCGGTAGAGAATGGATGGATGTTTTTACCTCAGTTATTGAGGATATGAATGGTGTAAAATGATGTGGTCACGGACCAACAGAATGCCCGCTCTTGCTTCCCCAGTAATTTTCCATTTGATTGATTCATATTTATGGTCTACAAGTGTGTTTTTAACTACAGATTTACCGTATATAATAGTCACTTAGTGACTACAGTGTGTTCATACTTAGAAATTTGGGAAATGACCTCTAAAGAGTTCTAGATACGAGTCGGCAGTTTTAATCCATCCTGTTGGTTCAATGTCAAAATGTGGAACTTGTCCCTGTTCTCCCCAGACGTACTTCAATGACAACATCCTCACACTGATCAGGACGCTGGTCACCGGAGGAGCCACGCCGGAGTTGGAGGCCCTTTTGGCCGAGGAGAATGCCCTGCGAGGAGGCTACAGCACGCCGCAGACGCTGGCCAACAGAGACAGGTGTCGCGTCGCCCAGCTCGCTCTCTACGATGGGCCCTTCGCTGACTTGGGGGTAAGAGGATGTTTAAGCAGAGATGACACATTTTGGCACGAGCCCGGCAGCACGCATTTCGACGCCTCCGCTCGTCGCAGTTCTTAATCCGATGTGAAGAACAGCGATCACGCAAAGCAGTCCCTAGTGGGCGCCGAGCGCTTTTCTACACGAATGATCGTATTTATGTTCTAAACATGATGTCGTATGGTGTGACTTCTCGAACGCGCACCCATGCGTCTTGTGTTGTCACCAGGACGGCGGCTGCTATGGGGATTTGTTCTGCAAAGCGCTGAAGACATACAACATGCTGTGTTTTGGCATCTACAGATTGAGAGATGCCCATCTCAGTTCACCAAGCCAGTGTACAAAACGGTAAAATATCTGCATTCAACATTTCAATGATGGAATTGATTGGTTTCAGTGTTCAATGCGCCCCCACTCGTCCAAACACGGTATTCTAATTAATATTGTGTTTGGGAAAAATCAAGCATAAAAATCCAGGTGTTTTTAGGTGAGGGGCGGCCATTTTGCCGTTTATTGTTAACTGAAAATGACATCACAGGAGTGATGGGCTCAGCTTGCGAATGTCACATGACCAAACCCCGAAAACAGGTGAGCCTTGACCGTTGTTACCTAAGCCGTTCGGCCATGGGTGTCAAACTCATTTTTGTTGCGGGCCACATTGTAGGTACAGTTTCCCTTGGAGGGCCGTTACGATGGTGAATTTTGTGAAACCATATAAATGTTTAATCACCTCCACATATTACATACACAGCGCACAACAAATTGATGGATAACTAGTTTTCAATTCAGAAGTTAAGAATAATTACTTGTTTAAATATTGTTTACATGAATGTAATAAAGGGTTTGGTAATGAGAAAATGCTTGCAGTATCATATGTTATTATGGATTAAATATGACAATTTAAAATTTTGCTTCAGACTTTAGCAAGCATCATGGAACTTGATATTCCCGATTTGCTTTTGCTGGCCACATAAAACGATGCGGCGGGCCAGATCTGGCCCCCGGGCCTTGACTTTGATACCTGTGCCTGAGGCACTGCAATGTCATTTTCAGTCGACAGTAAGTGGAAAAATGGTCGCTCCCTCAGAAGTATACAACCGGCTGGACTTTGCTTAAATCATACTCGACAAACTAGCCCTGTCACAAACAAGGCTAGACTCCAGCTTTCCAAAGACCCTCAATGAGATAGGAGGTAGAAAACGCCGCGCGGGCCATTGCGAATCTTGCTGTTTGTTAACCATGTTGCCAACGTACCTGACTGCGCTCCATGTCGTCCGTGCAGATACGTGATCACCAACCCACCGTACGAGTTCGAGCTGGTGCCCACAGACTTGATCTTCTGCCTCATGCAGTTCGACCACAACGCGGGCCAGTCTCGGACCAGCTTGTCCCACTCGTCCCACTCCTCTCATTCCTCCAGCAAGAAGAGCTCGTCCGTCCACTCGGTCCCAGCCTCCAACCGGCAAAACCGCAGCAGTAAAACCCGGGAAGCCCGAGAAAAACAGAAGTACGTGCGCTCAACGTCGTGTGTCCGACGCATGCAAGCTTTGTGTGTTCTATGTCCGGGTTTATCCGTATTCTTGGTGTGTTTGTGTGTGAGTGTGTTGTGAGTTTTTGGGCGTGTTGTGTTCTGCTTCCTTGCTTCTGCTTTTCTTCCATAATCATCCTCACTGTGTCATCACGACATCACATCAACTCTCTGGAATGCATGTAGACAAATTGCTGAGTCACTTTTCAACAATCTAAAAAATGACTGTTGTCCGGCAAATTGTGGTTGGAGAATAGCCTAAAAGTGCAAAACTACACACACATTAATGGTAGTTTGATATTGGCGTACCTGCCGTATCGATGTCTTGTCCTATTGGGGCCAATGAGTACAAATGAAAAGATCGTGATAATTTGGTGTACTCCCCACAAAATCTAATGCCCGATCCAAATTTGGTTTGTTTTTTTTTGTCATTTATCTGGGCAAACGAGGAAATATTCATCATTCTACAATTAAACATTTAAACAATTAAAACAATCGCTTTCAGTAATTGTCACATGTATCAAAACAAGTTAACGCCGATAAAATATGAAAACATCAAAACACTTGACTGGCGTCAGTGCTAGTTGGGACCGCTGTGTGTAGTTGACATTCAGTGTTACCCACTGTGCCGAAACTGCGGTTATTTTACGTGAATTTGGCTGATTTCTACTTGACAGAATGTTCAGAAATGATACAAGATTCATTCAGGGAAAAAAAAAAATAGAAACACTACTTTGGGTATTGCAGTAAATGTCATCCCCCATGAGCTGTGTTTGTCATTTTGTCGTTCGCAGTGCATCTGCTTCACTGCATGTTAGCAGGCACTTCTTCCTGTTGTTATAAGAGATTATAAGAGTTTGACCTCTATGTTGCCCTTTACATTTTTTTTAAATTTACAACCAAGGGACCATTAGGGCCACATTGAAAAGAAATTTTTAATTGAAATTTTATTATTATTTTTTTTTAAGCAAAGTGAGATTTATTTACACATTCATTCATTTATTTAGGGGAAAAAATGTCTTATTTTTTGGAAACAAAATATTATATTTTCGGATAAGATACAATCATTTTTGGGGAATAAAGTCTGATGTTTTTCCAAATAAACAGTTATATGTTTCCGAAAACAATCCCTTGAACCATCTCTATCAAAATAGCAACATTAAAGATTGAAGTTGAAAATAAACCAAAAGGGGCGGTTCGAGTCGAAAATTGTCTTTAGAAAGTTGTCTAACACCGTTTAATACGTTTGAATATATTTATAGTTATATATTTATATGTTAATTTAAAAATATTTTTCTCCAAACATATTTGACAAAAAAAAACAGTCACATATTTCAGGTTTTTGTTTTTCTTTTTAGTGTGGCCCTTGGAAAGAGCACCAATGAAGCACAGTTGTGAAAAGCATGCGGATGAATCAATCATATTGTCCCAAAATAATTGTAGTCATTGATCAGCCCTTAAAGTGAACATGTATGATGTTTGACTTTAGTGGTCTGTCCCTTGTGTACTTGCTGTGCAGACTGTAAATACTCCCGTACTCACAGTAGATTACTCGCCTCTCTCTCTGAAGTGCAACAAGGATGAATAGAATGGGCCCAGGTATGCAAGTTAACGATTCTGCATGACTTGGCAACCTTGACGTTCGATCATAACCGCGTCCTCTGCGGACGTCGTTATGATGCGGGGGGGAGTTTGCTTGGATTTACGACCTTCACTTAGAAACATGCCTCACCTTTCAGTTTTGCTTGAAAGCAAACACCGCTGCCGCTCCTTCCTCCTCCCGCCCCTCCTCTTCCTCACCGCCCGAGCCCATCCGCTGCCATGCATGACGTTGACAAACTTTCTTTGTTTGTTTTTTTTTGTTTGTTTTGGTTCTTCTCTGAACTCTCCCTGCTGTCGTGGCTTTGTTGCGCCATCTATCGCTCCCTCTTTATCATTTCCTTTCAACTTTGAGATGCTTTGCAATGTGTGAGAGGGCCGTGTGTTTGCGCATCTCTCCCTCCTGGTGCTAGCAAGACGACTTGTAGCGTGGTTTGGGCGAAAACACGCATGTAGGTCACATCGATTTGAATCCTCTCAAAGTAGCCGCGGGACTTTCTTGTGGGGGGGGAGTGCGGCCAGCTTTGCGAAAATTGGTCACACTGAGAAAGTGGGAGGCGTGACTGATCGCGAGCTTAAATTGGAGGGAATGCGACTCGTATGAGTCTCTCTCCTCCTAAAACGGCAGCACTTGACGTGCTGCTTTGAGGCGACAGGTTGGCCGTAACGGAGGCGGCGAGACGGCAGACGTTTTGCCCCACCGCGGGCGCGACGCCACACATCAAATGTAGCGCACGCCACCCCGCGGCACCCGAAGCTTTGCGACATGCGCGAAATCCACGCAAATGAATCTCCACACATGCGAAACACGCAAAGCTTTGCCCTGCATGACAAAAAGTTGAAATCAAATTTTTACAAGTGGTCTGGGAAGTGATAAAAAAAATTTAATAAATACATAACCTATGAGCTCACAAACACACTCCTCAATCGCTTAAATTTTGATAACCCTCGAATGATGGCCTCAACTAGACGCCTAAATTATGTGGCTGCTTTGAACAGAGCCTGAGCTGCGCTGCGTTGCGTCTCTTTCGCAAGTTGACGCGTGGCTAAAATGTGAGCAATTAATGCATTAGTCTCTTACGTGGTCTACGTAAGTCCTTGGTGTGCTGCTCCTCTACCGTAGCGAATGCACAGTACCAAATATCACCATCACATGTTCCCATACATTTACATTTAGAATTTTATACACTTGTTGGGGTGGCCCGGTGACCCAGTGGTTAGTTAACGCGTCAACCTCACAGTGGAGAGGTACCGGGTTCAATTCCAGCGTCGGCCTCCCTGTGTGGAGTTTGCATGTTCTCCCCGGGCCTGCGTGGGTTTTCTCCGGGTACTCCAGTTTCCTTCCCACCTTCCAAAAACATGCACGGTCGGATTGAACACTCCAAATTGTCCCTCGGTGTGAGTGTGAGCGTGGGTGGTTGTTCGTCTCTGTGTGCCCTGCGATTGGCTGGCAACCGGTTCAGGGTGTCCCCCGCCTACTGCCCGAAAACGGCTGGGATAGGCTCCAGCACCCCCCGCGACACTTGTGGGGATAAAGCGGATCGGAAAATGGATGGATGGACTTATTAGGATCATATAAAATATCCTCGGCAGCCCAAAAGCGACAGCGGTTCTTTCAAGGTTACCACCTGAGAATGACTTTGCATCAGTGGCGTAAGATTACATCAGCACGAGGAGGCACGCTAAGCTAGCGCCATATTTAGTCTTATTCATCTTGTTTTGTACTGACGATTTGGACAAATATTGACTGTAATTAGGACTAAAAATGTTGATCATGATTTTTCATGAAGTATCGGATCGTTTTTGTAGTATTTTCAATAACGCTCCATGTTCTTGTCATGTCTTGCTGCTGACCGCTTCAAATGAGGCGGTTTGCTTCGATGCGTCGCGATTCTTCTTCCGAACTGACTTCTGTCTCTCTTTGTCTGTGTCACCTGGTTTGTCCTTGTCTCCAGAAAAGAAATGGTTTACAGATGAACCGGACAACACCTACACGCGGAACATTCAGATCAAGCCCATGAGCACTCACATGGCCAACCAAGTCAACCAATACAAATCCACCAGTAGTCTGATTCCACCCATCCGAGAAGTCGAAGACGAATGCTGAACCGCTTTTCACGTTTCCGCTCGCGCACTCAACAAGACGCCTTGGAGGCGTGATAATGAGGAGGACGAGAGGACGTTCTTCGGTCTTCTTAAAAGGAGAACTGGACAGGAACCCAAACTGGACCTGCTATGTGTATACCTTTAATGTTACTTCCATGCTCTTTGGACATTGTTTTATTTATTAATGTATCAATAGAGATGTACATAATGACAATCAAATAACGCATTGTACAGCCCCCCCACCCCCACCCTTTTCCCCCCTAGCACTTTGTTGGAATTATTCTTTGACGATTTGACGAGAGAGAGAGAGACAGACAGAGAGAAAAAAAAGCACTTCCTGTAATGCTTTGCAATAGTTGACAAAGGGTGACAGCTTCTTGGAGGAACGAGGCTCGTATCATCGCCCCAAAGAACCCATCAGACGCCACTCTTCCAGCCAGCCGGGCTCACCGTTCTCCATCTTGTGTACTTCTGTTCTATTTGCACTAAAAACAAAAACAAAAAAAAAGAACAAAGAGCGGGTGGTGGGGGGGGGGGCAACCAAGAAGATCGTGAAGGAACTCTGCCCTCGGAGAAGAGACTATGAAGGAGTTAAAAGGGGGAGCCTATCATGCAAATCATTTCATCCGGAGGGTCTCCTGAATGAAGAAACAGCCAAGCAGCCTCGGAAGGTTGACGCGAAAAACGTTGCATCTGAACCAAAACCCAACCATGTTTGAGCAAAACGCAGCAGCAGCTTTTGGGATCACAAAGAAAAAAGCGCACGTTGAAAAAAGAAAAAAAAAAAGGGAATGCCACGTATCGCGTAAAAGTGGGCGCCAAACGGGGTCCTCCTCTGACCGCTAGAAACTGCCTGGCACGGGTTTGGCATGGAGGCGCTTGGATGTTCTCCTCCGCCAATCCCAGATATCGATCGCCTCAAATCAATACAAAAAAAAAAATAAGACGTTGAAACTCTCAGGAGTGATGCTGCTCTGCGCTTGCGCTGCTCAAGGAAAGGCTCAAAACCTGGTTGGGCGGAGATGCAACGGTTGGAGGCTTGCGGTTTTCCTTTGGTGTTGGACTCCCAAAACATGTCTTTTTGCCAAAATCGAGGCAAAAAAAAAAAAAAAAAGCGTATCTATCAGTTACGTTTCTGCCCCCCGACATCTATGCTTTTATCGAAAGAGTATTTTTTTAACTCGCTAACCGCCATCTTCAGCCTGGCAGCTCGCCTCTGCAGAAGTCACCGCAAACCGAAGCTCACCTGGACAAATCAGCTCAAAGGAGCATCCTTAGCTACAAAACACGCGGACCGAACGAAATGGTTTCAAGAGTGATATCAATTAAAAAAAAAATATCAATCTAGAAGAGTTGTAACAATACCACGAATAGATGATAGAGTCGCTTCCTCCGACTGAATGATCGTATGCGTTTGACCTAAATTAGGTCCCGAGTGCGGAAACGAAAGAAAGTGCACACTATTGCAAAGTGTGATCATGTTGGTTGTTTTTGTGTGTGTGTTTTTGTTTTGTTTTGTTTTTTTTTTCATTTCCCAAAATACAGTTTCAATCCAAGAGAGAACTTCTTGCCGGCGTCTCTCGTCTATAGGCCGTAAACGAAGTCATACGTGGAAAAGACTTATGATATTGTGCCGTCGGTGTTTGTTGTAAACTCAAGCCCATTTATTTCTTACAGTCTAGACGCTCGTCTCTTTCATCGGAGCTAAAAAAAAAAAAAAAAAACAACAAAAAAAAAAAAAGCACGTCGGAAAAGCTTTCCTGTCCGTCTATTGGGTGTGGTGCAACTATACTGAAGCCTCATGCACATTGTCCTGAAGTGAATTTTTGAACTGTGATCACATCGTCGTCACACTTGTAGCAAATAGATTTCACAGAGAACAACAAAAAAAAAAAGAGCGAAAAAGAGAGAAACAAACAACCTGTGATATTCCAAATTGAATGAGTACTATTCGAACATAGCAGCGACAATGAATCAAGATAGTTGGGAAGGAAGGTAGCACCAACACGGTTAACTGAGAGATCATCCTTAATTTTCCTGCGTTAACATTCCATTTTTGGCGTCTCTTTTGTTTACAGATGATTTTTTTTTTTTTTGGGGGGGGGGTCCTTAAACATTATCACACTGTTAACACTTTTCATGCTGCAAACTGGCTTGAATATGACTCCGCCGATTAATGCAATATTTGTCAGAATTATTATTTTTTTGGTTGTAATGTGTCTCCTTGTCACGCGTCTCCGTGTTTCTCAGTGTGGTTCCTTTTTTTTTTTGTGTGTGTGCGCGTGTGTTTTTGAAGTGCCATGAAGAGTTTGTAGTTGAGCATCCTTCAGTCATTCAGGGACACAAGCTCGCTTTTTTTTTTTTTTTTTAAACTTGTTCATTTTCCACTGTGACGTTGTTGTCTTGCGCCGGTGTAGAGAACATCCAAGTTGTCAGCGCCTCCATGCCGGTGCAGTGCCAGGCAGTGCTCGAAGGTCAAGAGGAGGGCCCGCGTCCACACCCCACTATTCGCGACAAGTGGCATTCGGTGGCTCACGTTGCAGTACGGATGACTGAACGATGCACATGTTGTCCCCCCTCGGCCAATCATCTGTGGCGCATCATACGTCACTGTATGTTGCACTTCATGAGTGGATCTATTTTTGCTGTAAAAGAATGGATAGAATCACTTATTTGCTGGGAGTTGTACGAGATATTCTAATATATATAACGCATACAGAGACTGGAGTTGAGTCTTAAATAATGCATTAAAAAAATGCATTTTTGGGGGGAGGGGATGGGTTGTTATTTTTATCAGTCAATGGAGGATTTCAGGCATCACGTCGTCGTCGTCGTCGTCGTCCACCGCAGCAAATCGGGAGTTTGACATAGCAGTCTATTTCTTTTGGATGTGTTCTAGACATGATGGATTATTTTGATGGTGCTGAGTTGATCTACCTGACTCTGTCAAATATAATCTGCTGATAAATATACTGTCTTGTACAAAATGTTTGTACATAGATTGTACATGGTTTCTTTTTGTATTTTTCTCAAATTAAAAATGGATGTATTTGTGTTCTAAACCGGAAAACCTGACTTTTCTGTTTTCTTTCGGTTCCGGCTCCGAATATGAGCTGTGTCGGTAGAATTCCACGACTGTTGTCACAAAAGATATTTTTAAATCCAAGCTGCGCATTTCCCCTGAAAAAAAATTCACTTTCCCAGCCCTTGCCGTCATGCCATCCTGAACTCACTTCATCATCAAAACCATGTTGATGTTGCTCACATGGCAACGTTCTTTTCAGCCAGGAACTGTCAGATGCTCTCGGCATAGTGTCGCGCAGTCACCGAAGCAAGCCGCGTGATCCCTTTATTCGATGTGCCGGTTGATCGTCTGGCCCCGTGGCGAGAACGATTTCCTGCACATCGAGGAATGAGATCAACATGACTTTGACTTTGGACTGGGACTATATTGCTTTCTTCAGCCTTGGCGGACTCTGACTCTTCCGCAAAGGATCCGTGACTCATCACAGATGATGACTCTGGTCTTATATTAGTGGCATCATCGCTTTGCTCATCGCTTGACAGGTCTGACACGGAGGATATGGATTAAAAAAAAAAAAAAAAAGCATGTGGTAAAATGTTGAGTGGCTGCGGAGAGCCGAGGTCACAGTCTCCTGCTCCAGGGTGATGAGATTCAAGAAGACGGGTTTGAAATGTATCTTTTGTGACACCAGTCCAGGAACATACCGCACACCCCGTGACACATAATATTTATGGATCTTGTGGACTCAAACGATATTGTTGCAGTGTTACTTCACCACTCAAACTCCACCTCAGGTTTTCTTCGAGAGGGTTTTCTTAGTTTTGTTTGTGCGTTAGTCACAACGGTAGTTTGTCGTCCGCTAAGATGCACTCATGACGGCCATCTTGTTTCGTTTTGTTTGGCACTTTAAATGACCGACCAGTTGTTATCACACTGCGGTCGTAACTTATGTGCAACTTTTGACTCCAAGACTCATACAACACATTTTTCAAATAAGTAGCTGGCCACTCTTCTGGACGCTATATATAAAAGGGGTCATTTAGATGGAAAACAGTAAATTGTTAATTCATTTATTTGGGTGTTTATTTTCTTTATCATACACCAGATGTCCCCCACTCCTTAAAAAATATTCACCCTACATAAATTCCTTTGTTTGGATGTATTTTCTTCAATGCCATAATGTTATTTTCTTTTACTTATTCGACTTGGGTAAATGTGAACATCTACTTTAAAACAAAACTGATGCGAAAGGTCCACTCAAAGAGTAAGCAGGTTTTTGGGGAGCCCCATCCAAACATTCATATAAAATCGGAAGATGAATTTTCTGCTCCCAAATATTAAATATGGCCAAATTGCTTGAATCAATGTTTATTTTATTTGTTGTAATTTGCCGTATGTTTTTTTTTGGGTGGGGGGGTGATTGTTTTATTAATCAAATAATTCCTACTGATCCTAAATGCATTTCATTCATTTCATTTTTCAAATGTTCAAGTCACATTGACCATTCATTTTGTTGTTTTTTTAAAATTAAATAAATTCAAATGTAAAGCACAACATTGTGAGCCAATATAACTGCCCAAATGCACTTTGTATTTTTTAACCTCACAAACCACTTATTTATACTATACTTATTTTTAATTCATTTATTTGTTCAGTGATTACATAAATTTATTGACAATCCTTATATAACATTAAAAAAACAGCAACATTCTCTATATTCTGCTTCACAGGATTCTGAATTCCTGTCCAGATGTGTTTATATAGGTGGCAGAAATGTCAGCGCTCACCTTCAAACTGACTCACTGTAAATGACAGGTGCTGATAGATTGCACTTTTTGACCTTGACTAGGTTAAATCTAAAATATCATCATCTTACACCACCGATCCCCAGCTGCAGGGAGGAGGATGCGGGGTGGGGGGTGGGGGGGTATCGGGGGCATTGGTGACCCCTCGCTTCGAGCCACCACCAAACAGGGATGGTGTTGCCGCGTTAGTCTTGATTTACGTATAGTGACATGTTATTAGCTGCTCCATCACTTTCAGCTGTCACTCTGTCAGTCAGCGAGGATCCACTGTGATGTCTGGGAATCGAATAGGGGGGCGATAACAGTGCGTCCGCATCGCCTCGCGGATCTTAAGGGATGAGGTCGTGGATCAGCAGTCATGTTTGGGAATTCCAGCACGAGATGTCGCGCGAGCACCGGCTTTACATACAAACAAACTTTTTGGAGTCTGTGTCTTTGCTGTTGTTTTTTTTCCCCCCTTTGGGTCTTTTTACAAGAAAGTCAAAACGTCAAGTGCTCAGACAATAAATAGTTAAGCAATCAGTTAATAACGCTCATCCAGGTAGTGTATCGACATCCTTGTCGTTATTTTGCTGTTGGCCTCTGATGCCATCCCAGCATAAAAGGAGTTTGCAAACTCGACCGGGGAGACGAAACCTTAGCTTAATTTAGCGCTAGCTAGCTGGTATGACAGAACAAGGATGGATTTTAAAACCTTACCAAAAGCTAAAGAAACAGCCTGAGTTCTGCCGAAGGCCAATTTGTGGAAAAGGTAGTGGAAGGAAGCTATTTTAGACCAAAAAGGAAAAACTTTTCCATAGGGCGATTGGTGGTTGCATTAGCGGGCTGGTGTACACTCTGATATGTATTCAAAATAGGGAATGTGAGCCTTGGTAGAGCGCATTGGACAATATATGTAGCTAAAGTGCTATTCATTTACATTTACTAATGTAAATGATTTTTTTCTTTTTTTTTCTACGAGGATAAACCTTTGAAACTCTTTTATATGTCCTGTTAGGATAGGTTGCCCCCCCCCCCATTCATGTTGACTTCCATTAGAATCTGCTAAGTTATTTGCACATGTTGAGGCCGCCAAAAAGGAGATGATTAATTCACTCTAGATAGATTCGAGCCAAATGAGTCCAAGATGGATGATAGCTAAAAAAAAATCGGCAAGGCTGTTTCCCCTTGCCGTCATACGGAAATAAGGTGCCGGTATACGTCGCCCGTGTCAAGGCTACTCGTTCATCTCACAGGAGATCTTCAAACGTCACCAGCAGCACCAATTCGGAGGTGTCATGACGACTTCCCAACCATCCCCTCCCCCTAACAACAAGACCCTCCATCTTGTGGGCAATTTCACACATACACGCCAGCCAGCATGGCATTTGTCCTCATTTCGCTTTCTAATTTGAAAACAAGGTTAGCCCCAGGTTAGCATTTGGGAAGTGGGCGGGGGTGCTTGGCACTCGTCCACTCGCCAGACCAAACGTCAAAAGTGGACAAAGTGGTGAGGGCGCAGCAGCAGTCACAACACAAAGCGGAGGTGTGAGATGAAGACATGGAAATGTGTGTGCAGGGTTTGGGGGGAGCATTTACAGCCAGAGGAAAAAAAAAAATGAAGAGACTCCC